GCCATATTTGTGTAAAATCTTTAAAATGCAAGGTTTTCCAGATAATTAGATGCCTTATTAAACCCTTATTAAAAAACAGCATCCAGACAATTTTTCAAGGGGGTACCTCATGAGTGGCTCAGTTACTCAATAATATGAATGTTTGGATGGTACTCTATTGTGCCAAGCAACTTTTGGGGTCGAAAAAAAAAAACAAAACCCTTGAAAGTAAATTGAAATCAATTGAAAGTCAATTGAACGTAAATTGAATTCAATTAAAAGTAAATTGAAAATCAATTGAAAGTAAACTGAAATCAATTGAAAGTAAATTGAAATCAATTGAAAATAAATTGATTTCAATTAAAAGTAAATTGAAATCAATTCAAAAAAATTGTTGAGGGTGGGGGGGCGCAAAAAAATGGTCAGTTATTGAGTAGACTAAAATTGTTTGAGGGGGGGGGGGCCCGCCCACTAATCAGTCGACAACATTAATATAATAAGATTTAATTCAATTCAAAAAATAAAACAAAATAAAATATGATATAATAGGCTATAATATAGTAGAATAGAAAAGAAAAGCATATAATATAATGACATATATAATGATATTTTTTAAAAAATAATATAATATAATATAATAAAAGACAACTTAATATCATATAATATGATAAACTAAAATATTAGCAGTGTAATATGACAATAAATAAATAAAAATATATATATATATATATAAAAAAAATAAGCATATAACTAGGGCTATCGAACTGGGTATGAAATATCTGTGGATGTCCACATCATAGAAACAATATATCGCTTGAGAAAGCAACACACGTTGACCCGTGTACCCCGAAGAGGCGAGGCCTGTTCATGAAGTGACACTCGGTAACCCAACATAGTCAAAGGCATCCAGAAACATATGGTGCACATCTTCTATGTTTGATGTCACTATTGTAATTATTGCCGAACTAAAACTGCCTTAAGCCTTGCCATAATCATAGATACTCTCAACGCCAACACTGGCTTATTTGTTTGTGGACTGTATGAATATATTATACATGCGTGTCTCATATACCTTCATATGATCATATTATACCGTTCATGTACGTGCATAATCTGTATATATATATAGTTAATATATAGTTATGGTATGTTCATTTGAAGGTATGCCATGCCTATAATTACATATATATATATATAGATATATATATATGTACAGTTGTATATATATATATATGCCGTATATAAATATATATATATATGCCAGATTATGTATAACTATAAAATTATAATTATAGGACCGGATAACCCCACACGTTAACAACTTCTCCAGACTTAGACTGAGCACAGAAAAGTAACAAGGGAAGAGGAAGTATGAGAGTGATGGAGGGGTGATGGTGGGTGAGTTTGTGTGCATGTATGTAAGTGCATGTACAGGCGTGTCACTTTGGTAGTGTGTTCACGATATGTGTACCGGGTGTAAGAGGCAGTCTGTACTATATGTGATGCACATGCGGATGTTATACGTATGTGTATGTGTGTGTGTGTGAGGTGATATTACTTTCGTGTGATGCGAGGTTGGGTGGTAGTAATGTAAAAGTATGAAAACGTAAATATACTGATCTTCTTGCATGTGACGTGAAGTTATGACGCGTCAAGTGATGTTTTGCTATGAAGGCGTACATCCGACCCCTTGGCAGAGCCACCGGCAGAGCGGCGGAGACCAAGGGACGCCAGAGGGACACCGGGGCGTACATCCGACCCCTTGGCAGTGCAGTGAGTGAGTGAGTGAGTGAGTGAGTGAGTGAGTGAGTGGGTGGGTGGGTGAGTGGGTGAGTGGGTGAGTGGGTGAGTGGGTGAGTGGGTGAGTGGGTGAGTGGGTGAGTGGGTGAGTGGGTGAGTGGGTGGGTGAGTGAGTGACTGAGTGACTGAGTGACTGAGTGCGTGAGTGAGTGCGTGCGTGCGTGCTTGCGTGCGTGCGTGCGTGCGCGCGTGCGTGAGTGAGTGAGTGAGTGAGTGAGTGAGTGAGTGAGTGAGTGAGTGAGTGAGTGAGTGATGGTGTGTGGAATGTGTGGAATGTGTGGAATGTGTGTGTGTGTGCGCGTGATGGTTTGTGGGATGCGTGTGTGAGTAAATGATATGTGTGTGAGTGAGTGATGTGAGTACGTGAGTGTGTGTGTGTGTGTGATGGTTTGTGGGATGTGTGTGTGTGTGTCAGTGATGTGTGTGTGTGTGATTGATGATGTGTGTGAGGATTTTGTTGGGAATGGGAAGACAGGCGGGAACGAAGGAAGGAAGGAAGGAAGGAAGGAGGAGCGGATACAAAACTAAAAACAAAAACCCCACACGTCAATGTGGGGAAATATAAGGTAATATAATCATACAAATAATTAAAAATATAGTTATATAATACATCTGTGTATCCCATGTATTGCAAATGCTTCAACCATCCGGCAGTTCGCGTCCAGGACTCCGAACCATTCAGGTCAAGGTCGGCGACAAATTGGCGCCACCAGATGTTTTTTCGGGGACCACAGTTATAGCCCTTAACAGTTATAGCTGGGATTATAATGATATATAACCTAACTTATAGGAGTTGGCTCATCCCCATTTATAACTTTTTTTGGGGGCCATAACTGCAGTCTACGTTGTTGTTGCTGTTGTTGTTGTTTTTCATGAGATGCCTAAGGCTCACGGATTTTCTGCATGACTTTTTGAGATGAGTGTGAAGAATTTTTTAGATCTTGTCCAGGCCGACTTTCATGGAATTTAACATTGTGCACATGCTTCCCGCCGTGACTGGAGGCATGGTCAGGACGCTTCTGGACTATGTGCATTTCATATAATTTTCAGTGATCGCAACTGAAACAATCATATCAGTGTGAAACAAACATCCTCAGCCGCCTTTCGAAAAAGTTGTGCCTAATTACCCTGGAATTGCCGCAGTACGGTATCTTGGCAACTGGCGACCAGGATGAATCCGGCTGTTCCCGGGACGATCCAGCTGTGCTCGAGGGCGCGGCAGTTCATGTTACCAGGATGATCGTTGGTCATTGCTTTTGTATTAGGGGTATGTGTATATAATAAAAAAATATATAATCTATATAGGTATTCTTATAGAACTTCTATAGGGGTGTCCGCCACCGTATATATCCAGTTGCACTGTGAGTTTTAAACGGCCATCACGGGTTTGGATCCACTTGGAATGTGGACAAGTCGCGTCTGATGTGCCACTCCCAAGGTTTGAAGATTCCAGCCAAGAAAAAAAGATCAGGGGTGCTCAAAGCGGCCCTGAACCGAGACTGGAAGTTCCATTGGTCCAGTTTGGAGGCCCACCATGACTGGTTGGTGGTTTTAACCATCTTGAAAAATATTAGTCAATGGGAAGGGTTATCCCATATACTATGGAAAATAACAAATGTTTGAAACCACCAACCAACTAATAATCACAATCTTCTGGTTGGTGTTGCAATGTCGACCCTGGATTTTGATAACACCGACTATTCGCGGGATTATCCCAAAAACAGTCGTAAATTACTTCGAACATTGGGGCACCCTCCCCTATTTGTAAACTGGGGGGCCATGCATCGTAGATTAGCATTAACCTGGAAACACAACAGTAACCATGTTATATATATAATATACACTATAGTATATATAAATGATAGTATACACATTGTACAGTACATCTTTATTGCGATGAATAGATACAAGGTGGTGCCCTAGTGTGGAATCGCTAAGTTTGTTTATAGCTATAACATTTCACTTGGGCCTATGTGGAATATTCGGAATATAGCATAATGCATAATGTAACTGTGGTTAATGGGAACTACAAGGCGGTGATCCAATACTTTGCTAAGTTGCTTTGTAAGTCCAATGTCACTATGTTTTGTGTTTTTTTTTTAAATATATGTATACTTATGGATATATGGTTTATAAACCAACAAAGATCACCTGCGGGGGCACCACCTTGTATAAACCAACTTGTCCCTATAAAGGCACGATGGACCTTGCCCAGACCACAGTTCCCAGGCTGGCTGGCACTGAAAATTTGGCCGCGTGATGAACCTGGCCGAAGGGCGAAACCCGATGCAAGTGATGGTATTAAGAAACATGGCGAAGAAAAAACACAGCCCTATGGATCCAAACACTGTCTGAGAAGGTGCTGGACCCCTAAATCATACCAAAAGTACTTTCTAAGAAAGCACTTGGATCCATAGGGCAGAATATATGATAATCATCATAAACTATAAACTGTCAATGTCGCCGTTGAATATGGTTTTTCAATTGGGTGATACACCCAACTCTAAATTTCGATATATCCGTCATAAATCCAAGTTATCCCATGTGGAAGCCAACAGATACGTAACAAGGTCCCCCTTCTTGCAGGTACCAAGTGGAGAGGCAACAAAATGGCCAGAAAAGGAAACAAACCCATGAAATGGTGGGGGGTTGTCTATATCCTGTTTGGAAGTTTGGGAACAAGGAGCCCAGAATAAAATCAGATACCCAAGGTCTTGCAAAGTAAAGAAAACAACAGAAAAATACAGAAACAACATAGCAACACACGCACTACGCACACACACATATATAAATATATTATATATATGATGATACACAAACGCGCGCACCCAAAACATCCCGATCCTTTCAAAACCACGCAGCGTAAAATATCTGTCCCAAGACCAACATAGACCATCTATGTTTGCCGCTACCAACCATCATTTGTAATCGAGTTGGCTGGTGAGTTGGCGGTACTTGCTCAAAGGATTTGTTGAATACTGTGACTAGAATCAAAGTCATCGCATTAATCAAGAATATAATATATATATAAACAAAGTGGTACACTGGTTCATACCTCCAAATCACTATAGGATGTTTGTTTTTGGTTTATATGTATACTATATATATATATATATATTCATACTTGATGTATCTAGATGTGGTCACAAAACATGTTTTCCTAAAGAGAGCCCGCAGTGTACCCTCAATCCCCACCAGAAGTTTGTTTGCCGTTCCTTTTTCTCCCACCAGCCGCGCGTCATCAGCCGCGCGTCACCTGTCGCTTACCCGGGCATGGCCGATATGGGAATCTAAATTGCTAAATTGCCAACATAGGGAGAATTATCATGCAGTTATATCATGCAGGTAAAGTCCTTTACCAGTTATGCATGGTTATAGGGTTATCATTCCAGCAATGGGGTGACTTACTGACTTACAACATCTTGCAACTGGTATTTCGGGCCACAACTGTGGGTAAACAAATGTAACACAAATGGCAATGAAAAATTAAAGAAAATTGGAACCAAAATATTAAAAAAAAACAAACTTAGACTCAAATTCAAATGGCAATGAAAATTAGATAAACTGAGAATCAACATACTAAAAAACGAACCAAAATTAAGTAAGAAGAACGTGTGGATTTGAGCTGCAAGAACCAAGGAGATCTGAGGGGATTGAACCGCCCAACTCATGGGGGGATATCCTGGAGATCTCCTGGAAAGTGAGTTTTTGGACCATTGGATATATCTTCAGAGAAAGCCTGTTGGGGATTTTCTTTGTTCACCCAAATCTAGGGATTTTCTGTATACATCTATGATATTCTGTAATAATCCATTTTAACGCGACTAGACCACGTTTATGCATCAGTGACTCTAAAATACCGCCACTTTACTCAGAAAAAAAACTGAAAACACTGCTGGCAGGAACCGAGATTCCATAATATGTACCAGTAGTACTGCACAAGGCGGTGTCGGAAGTTTCAAAAAATAGGAAACCTATAGGAGAGGCGAGTTGTTGTGAATCACGGATGGCAGAACGAATCCACTGATGGACCGAAAGGTGGTTGGAATGTCGAGCCATATATCTATCCATCCATTTGCCTGTCTATCTGCCAATCTGTCTATTTATCTCTTTCTCTATCCATCTATTGTCCATCTATCCATCTATCTATCTACCACTATCTACCTATCTAGTCTATCTATCTACCTATCTATCTAATCTAATCTAATCTAATCCAATCCAATCCAATCCAATCGAATCTAATGTACCTACCTACCTACCTATCTATCTATCTATCTAACTAACTATCTATCTATCTATCTATCTATCTATCTATCTATCTATCTATCTATCTATCTATCTATCTATATACCTATCCTTCAAGTTGTCTGTCTACTTATCTTTTATCTGTCTATCTATCTATCCATCTATCTGTCTTTCCATCTATCTGCTTAGCTCTCTATCTGTCTATGCAGCCGTCTACCGATCAAACTGCCTGTCTACGTGTCTATCTGTCTATCTATATGTCTTTCTATTTTTCTCTGTCGAGTCGAGATCTATCCATTTTCTTGTCTATCTGTCGTCTTTCCACGTAGGCTATCCATCTATCTAGTTGTCTATCCGCCCATCCAGCTGTCCATTCAATCCATTTCAGTACCGAAGCATTTCACCCATCCATCTACCTGGTTCTTTATCTTTCCGTCTAGATCTGTTAGACAGTCGCACAGAAACCAAACAGTGCGAACAGAACCGGGTTTTAGTTGTGCTGTAACTGTAACTTCTAAAACTTAAATAATGTGAGAAATCGCTCTACCACGATCCCTTTGGTGCACAACTCGACCTTTCTTCCCTTCTGCTTGTGCACGCAACGAGCACCGTCCGTGACTTCGTACCGTCAGAAAAGACAAGCACGAAAATGGCGAGCAAACATCCAGAACTGGCATATTCAAGCACCATATATTCCGTGACGTCAGAAAAGACAGACACCGCACTTCACTGCACGGCACCAACACGGCAAGCACGGCGGTCAGAAAAAAACACACCTGATCGCCACTGACATGTGGGAGGTGTTTGCCTCCCGCTCACGACGTTTCTTGCATCTGCCTCTGCATTCACATGAACAGTCTCCACACAAGTCCCCAAACTATTGTTGCTCAAGCCACCCGGATATTTGGAAACCTGACGATCTGATGATCGAAAATGCAACCTCTCTCAGGAAATCAGCGCCCGGATCTCTTAACATATCTGATGAACATATCTCTTGTACTGGGCCTGCCACGGAAAATGCATCTTTGCAGATCCTCTTCACATGTCCCACGCCTGCCATCGTTTGTGGACATGCTACAAAATCCGATGGTTTTGCTCACTTTTGACACGGTGCACAATCACTTGCGCCTGCCATGCGAAACGACATCTGAACGTCCAAAAGTGGTCCGAACATGTGGTGTCTTGAACATTTTGACTTGGAAATGTGCTTCGCGCCACAACCGCGTGCACTTTTTCGACATCTCAACTTTGTTTTGTACATGTTGACTTGCAAATGTGCTTCGCGCCACAACGGCGTGCACTTTTTCGACATCTCAACTTCCAAAAGTGGTCCGAGCATGGTGTGCTTTGTACATTTTGATTTCGGCATATGCTTCGCGCCACAGCGTGCACTTTTTCGAGATCTCAACTTCCAAAAGGGTCCGAGCTTGGTGTGCTTTGTACATGTTGACTTCCACATGTGCTAACGGCGTGCAATTTTTAATCTCTCATCTGCTGGCCGCTGGCCACATGGCTCCGCACCCGCCGCTTTAGCGAGCCTACTTTTCGACCCTCCAGAGACTCCAGAGCCACAAAACATTGGGATAAAACAGTGTTTCGCGACTTTGCTCCTTTTCGCGCACCTGCATCTTCTTTCTTCTCACTCTTTCTCTGCTCTGATCTTCTCTCTTCTGCTCTTCTCTTCTCTGACTCTTCTTTTCCATCTGTCCATATTGTCGGAAGCTTGGCTTGACTTCTAAACTTCCGTCGATTAATTTGTCGAGTCTTTAAGCACATCCACTTTCATTGCTGGGCGCTTCTCACGGTTCAAGGATCTTTGGAGAGTCACACAGCTGTTGTGGAAAATAGTCAAGTGCCCAGACTTGATACGTAAACGCATGGACAGTTGGCTATCGGATGAGCAAATCTGGTGCCGACTGCCTGTCAAATATGTTGGTTAAGGCATTGTGGAGCGGAGTGTGGCAGCGCAGCTCACGTCCAGACACGTTTTTAACGGCCCTTTTTCCAAAAGATCTGTTCGGAGTATCTAAGTATCTTGGGCTACAGTATACCCTCATCCAAACCACCCTGTTTCAATCCTCTTGGCAAAGTGGTGGCACCTGTCATCATTTCAAATGGATTGGAAACGTTGTAAATATGGTGATAGTTTCTATCCCCCATGCAGAACCTCTATTCGACAACGATGTGGTAAACCCAATTTCAACTCATCATCCCAAAAATCACGTAATCCTTATGGATGGGACTTCAACCATGAAACAGCCATATTAAACAACTGCTGCTCAAGTCCAGCAAAAAAACTCTATTTTGTTGCTTACACTCAAATTTTCTCATGGTGCGACCTCCAGCTCCGCTTGAAAGCCGGCGCTTTGCAGCACTCGCACCAGGCGTTCGTTGGTCGCCGTAGAAGCGCCTGCACTAAGCCTGAAGATGGCGACGGCATGCTACGGCGACGGGCCAGGGGTAGAGTGCTCGAGTTGTACCAGTTATCCCCGTTTATGGAATGATAGCATCATCTATATAATCAAATTGATAAAGATAACTGGCAAAGGGCGTTTAGGGTGAAGATTTGAACTCCATGGTGCCCAAATGACAGGGTCATATCTGAATGATTTCGGCTCATTGGTAGATCACGTCATGTTCACAGCACAGGGGGCTGGCCATCGATCCCAGCATCCACGGGATCGGCGGGCCATTTACAGGAAGCCATGGTTTCTACAAAGTGAAGGGGGTTCATTGACATTTTCCCTTAAACCAATACCTATATTCCATGTGATATTCCTATAGGATCTATGTTGAAAACAACAGCGGCACCTGGATACAAGGACTGGCGGCGTAGGGTTCCGACGGTACCAGGGCGCGTCAACTTAAATGGGCCACAGGGATCTAAAAGAAATCCAGAGGTGACACTCCTCCTATAATGAAGCGCATATAAAAACCATTGTTGCTGGTTGACAAACCCTTAATAGGCCCTGATTGTTGGGAGGGTCGCCTTTTGTCCTGGTTAAATTTCATTAAATCTCAATTTATAGCAATTTTGAAGGCTTTAGTGCAACTCTTGAACCCCACCACCCGAGCCCATCCTTTCCTCCCGTTCCCACACCTGACCCGGGCACGGCCGCCCTCTTCTTCCAACCAGGCATCGCAGTGGAGGACTTCGGGCAGGGTTTGGAGGGTGGTGGTCACCTGCCGATTTCGACAATCGAAACATGAGGAATTCACCAAGAAAAATGAAGATACTAAGCCACTGAAAGGATCTGGAAGGTGGAACAACTTAAACATGAACATGAACATGAAGATTTCACCATTGAAATATGTTTATTTGTCAAAAAAACACTGAGGAGTCAACCAAACAAGCTATAGAGGAATCTGGATTTATCGGAAAATGGGAGTTTGTTGCAATGTGCTTTCCTGAGACGAAGTCTAGAGATCACAGCGCATATGGCACGGAATTGAGAACAACAAGGATGGCTAATAATAGCCATGTTTTTGTTTGATGGTTTCCTGTAAGTGGTGAACATGACATCGACTAACATGGATGGTTCCGTAAACCTTGTGAATAGTGAAAAAAACTGTTGAATTTGGTTCAGTCGATGCTGCAAAAATGAAGCTAGTAGCAACCCTGGTGCCCAACAGCCACGGTTGGAACATGTGAAATGAACACCTTACTGTACTAACCCCTCAGCAGTTCCAAGGGCTGAACTAACCCCAGGCATAACTAGTCCAATTTTATGGGTAAAATTTGAACCTACTACTGAATCAGAATGCACTTTGACTGATATACTAGAGTCTCATAACACGTTTTGACCATGTCAATTTTCATCATTTTTGTCCTAAGACACATTCAAAACAAATCACAAACAAATCACACCAAACCTTCATGTCCCTTCATCATTCGTAGCTTTTCCATAGGTTCTCCCCTTACTCATAGAGGATCATCCAACTTAGCAATTGGTAACCTAGGCTAGTAAGTCCCCCAAGTAGGCTTATCCCATTTAAAAGTGAGTGAACCAACCCCACGAACACTCACCAATTATGATCCTTGGGATGATTCTCCAAGTATTCAGTTTCCTATACAATTCCTATGGAAATTCCCATGAAATCTTCATTCAATCACCATATTCCTATTCTTTTCCCAGCTGTTCCCTTAAGGATCGCCGGCAGCTCCGGCCTTGTCGATGCACGCCACGCAGCCCATCCCCGGCACCCGCAGTTCCAACATGCCGCGCTGCGAGCTGCGCCCGTGGCGCCCCTTGCGCCGGAGACGTTGGCTGCGGAGGTGGAGAAGCTCCGGGAGGAAGGCTAGAAACCTCGGGTGCAATGAAGGGATGATGGGATGGAGATATTTGAGGTTGGATTTGTTTACATATTTAAGATGAATATATATATATATATATATTTATTTATTTATTTATTTATAAATTTATTTATTTATTTATATATTTATATTTTACATATATCATATACCTAAATTTAAATATATATATATATATATATATTATATATATAAAGAGTTTTAGGATGATGGGATGGGATGAGATTGGAATATCAGCTATGTATCAACTTGTATCAACTATATATAGCATCTAAAACCATGTCGGATAGTCAGGAGATCTTAGGAGATGCGCGTTTGAGTTGGGAGCTGTTTGGATTAGTATTAGTATATTCTACTCAGAGCTAGTGCAATCCCTGGCTATTTTTGGGTCCTGGGGACGCTTCGTAGACGCTGATCTTGCCCTGGGGACGCTTCGTAGACGCTGATCTTGCCAATATAACGGGCGAAATCATGGAGTTCTTCAAGGCAAATGCAGAATGTCCAGCAAAACAAAAACACATATTTTGACCAACAAAAGTGCCATAGCAGGAAAGCAGAAGGCTGATCGGAATTGGACATTTTTTTGCATTCTCCATGGCGGTGCTTTGTATTTCTGGGACGAACTAAGAACATGCAAGGAAACATATTGGTCTTCTTCTGGGTTGCTGAGTTTTCAAGGGGGAAAAAACAAAGTCTATTTTTTGTATTCCGCCACCACCCCCATCATTTCTCAGCTTTTCTGTTCTCGCCATAAAGTGAATACAGGTGATTCTCATGCGCGGCTTCTCGCATGACCTGGCATTGTCCAACTGCAATCAAATATGCTACTACCGTCATCACTACAGCTTGCAATATCATCCATTCTGGCATGCAGGCCGACCACGCACACATGCACTGTTTTCAGCTCAAGTCAAAATTGGAATGCTGCATCGCTATCAAAGTCGCACATTTTCTCAAAATAGATCATAGATCAAAGGTCATCACAAAGGCCCAGGGCATCACAGTTGCATACTTCATTGTAGATTGTAGATCAAGGTTTGAAGTTTGAAGGCTGTGAAACTTCCACCATCATCTTGTTAACCTTTTCGTTTTTTGATAGGGACTCTGACTCTGGCTAGAAACGAGCAACATGCCCGCGTTCTCAAAACATTCCATGGATGAACCTGGCAAGAATTGAAGAATCCCAAAAAGGAGAAATCTGACAGGGCATCGAAACCAAGTGCGAACATTCATGGCTGCATGAAGCCGGAGCCAACCAATCCTCCAAGACGTCTCACGACCTCAGAAGGAGGCATTTGAGTCGAAGCAAAGGAATTTGAGTACTAAATATTGGTTCCAATTTCTCGCTTGTCATCAAAGGGGCCCTGGAACAGCAGCGGCTTTCTGTCGTTTTGCTTTCGGGATCTGATTTGGTAGAGTCAGGTGGGGTCAGGTAGCTGGACTGGTTTCAACTTCGGCTAGACTCCAGAAGCCGGCCGCGCCTCTTTGCCACAGTGCGGGCAAACCACAGGCGATTTTTTCTGTCAGCTTTTTTTCGGCGATCCTTTTTGAACAAGGCGCATGCAATGCGCAACTTGGAGCTTGGGACCAATTATTGGTGGGATGTCTCCACAGGCAAGGACTGTAGCTGAGGCTGCAAACAGATCTTGTAGCCAAAACCCATTTTCTGTGTCACACAAGGTGGAACAGTGATCTCTGTATTGATGCAGCAGGATGTCACTACCCACACCGAGCACTTGCTGACCGGGAAAGCACAAGGATGTCGACCGTCGGTTTCAAGGACCTACGCAAGAGCTGGCGTGAAAAAAGGCCCCAGCAAGGCCAGCATCAGGCTTGCAAAATCCACCCGAACACCTGACTTGCAAGTGCCTTTTCCTGATGATGAAAACGGGCACGGTGCAGATTCATTGCAACTTCTGAATCAAGCGATCACCACTAGAAATTACATCCTTAGCGTCGACTTATCCCCATCATGCAAAATTTCCCGGCATCTTGATCTGGCATAATTTCCAACGCTCTGCTTTACATACATTCTGATATGCAGTAAACACTCTGGCATTCTTTTCTAGCAATCTGACAGTAATTTCGACATGAGACTTGGCGGGCCTCGGCTATGAAAACATTGGCACAGAATGGAACCAAACGACAAAGAAACCATGACGGCCAAGTTTGGAACATACTGCAAATTATCTTTAAAGGTCTTGCGCTGCTCCTCCTCAACAACAGTGACAGCATCCTGCCGAGGCTTTTCGGCCAAAATCATTCTCAAGTTGACCTCACTGCGCGGAGTCCCTGAAAGGTGAGCAATGGCAGATTGAAACTGCATATGCCCATCAACGGATTTAAGCCGATCGATCTTCTCAAGGTGTGAGGCCCCGGCATCATGCAGCAATGGCTGCGGCCAAACATGCTCCAAACTGCTGGAATGATGGAGCCAACACGGACCCCAAACAAGAATAGGCGGACATGTTTTTGCAGCAACCCGTGCTGAGCTGTCAGCATGAGCTTGTGCAAAACAACCTTGTGGCACTAACAAGGTGAAAAATGCATTGCAGTTGCCAGACAATGCTGCAACTAAGTGTCTGGCATATCCGGCCTCTCCCAAGATGGATAAGGCGGAGTCTCAACCTTTTTTGTGGTGACCCTTTGTTATGCCTTCGACGTTCTCTATGACAAACGCCTTGGCCACACTAGTGGTTTCGTGGCTTCCAAGCCACGACTTCATCAATCAAAACTCTAAGGGACCGACCCGGGGTCTTTCGGAAACAATTTTGTCGCACTGCTTGTGCCAGAGCTGTCCGTTCTGGCCCTTTGTTCCTGTCAGTTGGCAGAAATTCACGATGGGTCTTCCAGAGCGGAAAAGCATATGACCACATGGCCTCTGCCAGTGCCAGCTGAACTGAAATCTTGACAAGGGCTGGTTCCGATGTAGAGATCGGTTCCCTCAATCAAAGGCCTGGTTACCATATTAACATCATGGATGCAGCGAAGAAGTTCACGGACGTCTGCGTCTGATTCGCTGCAAATTTTGGTCGTGAACTTCAATGGCAAATAAGAAAGGGCCAAGGCCTGGCACAAACTGCTCAAGAAACTGCAAGCAGTGGGGAGTTGGCCACATGCAACACCTACACGCGGCACTCTCATGAAATGATCCAAATGATGCGGGCAGAACTGCTGTGTCATATCGACAGCAATCAGCTGTGACGCTGAGGGCCCTGGGTGGTCCGCGCCTGAGTCAACGAAGCTTGTTTTGGCCTAATGCTTGGTGAAAGAAGTGCTGAGGAAAGAACGGATCCTAACTTCTTCCTGCTTGCAGCAGCCTCTAGACTTGTGTCAGCAGAGTTGGGCGTGTTATGTTGCAATTGCTTATTCTGGCCTGCCTTAGATTTCAAATCCTTCAGCACAGACCTGCAGCTCTTGCAAATCACGTGCCTTTGAAACTGGACCTTCTGGAAGCCATGACGCTGCGCACACAGCCATGGGACGCATAGGTCGCAGGGCCAAGACTAAATGGAAAGCGTTCCAACTTGTCAGCCTAGTGTCAAACACTGCCATCGCTCTCTAGTTCGGTTTCCAGCTCTAGTTTGGTATCCAACTGGACTATCTCAAGCTTGTATAATCCAAATTCTTATCACATCCCCGGCCCTTTCATCATCCGCAACTGCCACAGAGTCAGCGGGCAAAATGGCAACAATGAAAGCGGGCAAGATGGCAACAATGGCAATGAAAAAAAAAAGTCAAAAAGAGCACCACCCGGGAACCAAGTAGGGCTGCTGGGTTGACGGAAGTACTTGACAGGAACACCGATTGGGATAATTATAGTTTATCTTATTATGTTCATCTCAGCAAAATGTCAGGTTTTTCCCTTGTACATCCAACTTCGCATCTTTTTGTAGTTGATAGAACCCAACGTTTGAACTCATGGTCCGTAGTCGTAGACCTTCAAGCAAAGTATCCCTCTGCGCGTAACAGAACAAACACCCAAAGAACCCCTGAAGTGACATGTTCTGTATCTTGATTAGGGAAAGGGATTCTTTGGATTCCTGGTAGCTGGCTTCCCACTATCACCCAATTAATATACCCGTTTAGTTTTCGGCATTCTTCGGCCGTTTACAAAGAAGTTGACCTCTTAGTGGTTCACCCCAGGTGGTGGTAACCCTGCCTACCCTGATGATGACTGGCGCAATTTGTGACCCACTGCGGTGAAGCAGCCAGTAATTCCATGGGTCCATCGCCCCTCTAACCATCCATGACCATCCCAAGCGACGGCATCACTCAACGCCTGGCCACAACTGACTGCATCGCAGCAAGGGCGAGGAGTGGAGAGAGGTGACCAGAAGACATCCTGAGCGCCCGAAAATGGACAGATCACCTGTTCTCGTGAAGGTCTGGGGCAGAATTTTGAGACACCAAATGACGCCATATTCAGATTTCAGGGTCATCTTTAGACTGAAACATGTTCGCTGCAACCCTGACGTTGCGCCGCGTCTGACTTCAGGTGGCTATGAAGACAAAGTTGATGTTATTACCCCAATCAACATAGTGTGCAGAGGGGGTGGCGAATTTTGATCCCTTGTGAAGATAAAGTTGATGTTATTACCCCAGTCAACATATTGTTCATAGGGGGTGGCAAATTTTTGATCCCTCATGAAGATAAAGTTGATGTTACTACCCCAGTCAACATATTGTTCAGAGGGGGTGGCGAATGTTTATGTGATGATGATCATGGTGTGATGGTGTGATGATGATGATGATGATGATGATGAGGATCATGATCATGACGATTGTAAGTGTGGAGCAACGTCCGGGTTGGGGCGAACATGTTTAGGCCGCCAAGGCTCCCAGAAAGAAAGGCCTCCAGGGGCCAAGGATCGTGTTGAACTTGGCGCAGCCGGCATTCAACAGATTCATCACCAGCTGCAGCGCGCAGCAGGCAGATGCCATCAGTGGGCCAAGAACCTGAGGTGGCCCCCCGTTAAAAACATGTGAAATTGGGGCTGTGGCAAAATTCAGACAAGAAACAAATAAATCAATAAACAACTATATAAATAAACATGATCATGAGAATAATAAAACATATATATATATAGTATATATATATATGTGTGTGTTCTCTCTCTCTATATATATATATATATATATTGTATATGTATACATATATATATATATATCACATACGCGTATTTGTATGCACAACGTGCACACACACACATGTATACTCACTTAGACTATCTTAGACTTACATATACTTACATTTGCATGTGATTAAAACCATGCAAGATCCCCTAACCCTATGGATAACTAGGATTTGATTTGGGGTGGTGGGTTTGCTTGTGAAACAGGTGGAAATCACCCCTCTAAGCGAGATGTGCCAAACATGAAAAAGAGATAAACAGATACAATTCTGTAAACACATGCCTTTAAAGAGTCGGGTGTTCATATAACTTGATAAGTGTATACTATTCATGTTTCCATGCTGCATGCGTTTGTAGAATCAATAGCCATGTGGAGGTTTCCTCAAAACGGAGTACCCCCTTGCATCATCCATTTACAGATGGATTTTCCACTATAAACCATCCAGCTATTGGGGTTACCTGCTGGGGATTTCACACGTAGGGCCATGATCCCTTCGAGCCGAGGCACGTCCCAGCAGCTGCTGGCGTAGCGTGGCCAACGGATGGCGTGGCCGTGCGCCAGGTGCAACGTCAGGAAGAAAGCAAAGGTCCCAAAGGTCCTCGACTGGTACCCAAACGTCTACTAGGAATGCGATGTATAAACCATCCGCAATTGCCTCAATCACCAACCAGGCAACCGGCTTTGCAAAGAAAGAAACATGGCGATGTGACTGGTATTTAATGTGGCTACCATTGGGTCAATGATTACTTGCAAAACATGTGAAGCGCCCATGTCTTTTAACGGTGGAAAACACAGCGCCCATGAATGACAACAAACAAATCGATCCTCGGAGGGCTTCACCAAGGATGGGGATTCTTGCGGCTTATGTCATGCCATGGTCGCCGTCGCCCCTGTCCTCCAAGCGAACCCGGGGGACCACAACAGATGGTATTCCTGAGAGGGTCGGTGGAAGAAATCCGTTCCACATTCAAGATTTGGCAGAACATCATGAAACACGTGTTGCCGTGAGTCGCGAGTGCCTGAAACTGCAGGGGTCATCGGCAGCAGATTCAAGGTTGGCTTTCCATGGTCGAGGTGGAGGAAAACGGAGTCGTTTGGGATCCAAGACCAAGACGAAACACATGCAAAAAAACACGTTGCATAGTCGTGTGCGATACTACAGGAGAAAATTAAATTGGTGTGACATCAGGATGCCAATTTTGATCAACCCCCCACTTTAATTTTGCTTGAACCATGGCTACATAAAAAGTTTCTGGTGTGCTATCAACCATTATTCTTGTTGCTTAAAGCTAAACACATGTTATAAAACTATTTAAAATTCACTAAAACTAATCATTTCAGCTGATTAACCCTATCGCGAAGAAAAAATCGCAGGACATCCTGCGCATCAAGACGCGGATGTGACCTGCCCTCCGGCGTCTCCACCGTTCCGCGCAGCTTTGATGCGCGGCCGCCGCGGTCGAAACGGTAGCACCTTGGGGACCATTTGCACTGTAGATCACAGTAGTAGATCACAGTAGATGATTTTTTGTTAGGGAATAGATTTTAGATGATTTTGTCAATTAGTTTTCTATAGAACATATTTTAAATAGGACAAACATCGCCCAGGAAACACACATTTTGATCACTTCAACAATGATTGTGGCAAATTTTCTGGGGGGCTCCAGTCACTAGCCACACCAAGGCAAGCTCAGGGAACTTGCTAGCACCTTAAAAAGCGGGAACTTTTTGAAACCTCTCTTCTTCTTGGAACCAAAGGGACTACTAGTAGGTTATGCCTCAAGTACAACAACTGATTGGTGGTTTCAACCCCTCTGAAAAATATTAGTCAGTTGGGATGATTATTCCCGATATATGGAAAAATAAAACATGTTCCAAACCACCAACCAGATAACCTTCTACAACGTAAGCAACGAAGCACCAGCCCTACTGATCCCACTTAGACGCTGGTGATGTCCCCCGGCTTCTTGTGGCGCAAACAGCTCCAGTCGTCAGCGATCGGCACAGCATGTGAGGTGCGACATTCATATTGTAGCACATGTTCAAACATGTTCTTCGGTGACAGCAAAACAACAAAACATCTGGCAGACCCAGTTTGATACCCAACATAGGTGTATATATATATATATACAACAAAGTTAGGGACTAGGCAGCAACGTGTCCGGGTCTTCCCGATCTTCGGAGGCATCACAGCATTGCTACCTCTTTTTAACTCAAGACACCTGCACAGTATTTGAAACTTGCAACGAATGTGGTAAACCCACGTAAATCCAACAATGTAATAAACTCATGTTTGTTCAAAGTTTAGACTGAGGTGAGGCTGATCAGCAAAAGGCTGCAATGGCCAACGCTTCCCAGGAGGACATGTTGGGGAACGCACTGGTTATCACTTCCTAACTACAAGGGATTACCCAAATGCCAGGCCCAGTTAAAGCCCGAAATACCACTGCATTTTTATGGTTGTAAATTATCATGGATCCTCATTCCATAGAGGGGGTGACTTGTAATAGCATCCACACCTGGTATTTGGGGCAATCACTGCAATCATTGATCAAACGCAAAAGATGATCCAAGTACTTAATTGCGCGTAGCAGTTAGATAGTGCTGTAGGTGATGAGCCGCATATCATTGCTTCCGGTATATTCAGGGGGAGTCCAAGGAGATCTCTACCATGAGTGAAATGGCCAAGAACAACTTTGTACTATATGCTGTCATTGCCAATCTTAGATATACTGGTATCCTGCGAGAATGGCTGGTTGGCAACTAGACATCCCCACGAATATCAGGAACGTCAAAGTATTAATTAAATTAAATACTATAATAGTAGCCACCCAAGGTTTTAACCCAGCATTATCCCCTCGACTACATGCCAGCACCGTTGCTTGGCATGGTCAGAAAACCCTCATTTTGTATCATTTCGTTGGTTATTTCTGAATATCCAACCTTTTCATTGTTCGGAGTGTATCCGATTCTTGTACACACCAACTCTTGTGTGTGTCTGTTTCCATGTTTGAATCTATATACGTAGCCCTACTATTGTCACTAAGTCTGGTAGAACCTCGAAATCTGTCGTGGCATACCCCGTCACATGGGATACCAAAACAGTGGAGCCATCCCCATAGCTTTGATGTAACACGGTGAGCAAAAACCAGGTACCGTTTTTTGGGGCCGGAACACCAGGTGACTATATGCTCCAGGGATCATCCGAAATAATCCTTAAGACCAGTTCTAAGTCAGTGATTTATGGAATGATAACCCGATTTCTAACCACAACTGGTAAAGGGCCTTAACTGCATGGCTAGATCCCTGGTGGCTTGCGTTTTTTTCCGGTACATGCACCGTGCTGTTGCCGTGCCATTGCTGGTACGGCCCCCAGTTGTGCGGCGAGGAACGATGACCCCACGGCCCCAAAGGCATTGCATCCTGAACTTCACATTCTGATGGGGGCATCAAACAACAAACAACTAAACATGTTTGTTGCAAATCCCACGTTTGCCCGCATCGGATTCCGCATATCCTTTGACATGCTTAAATCCCTGCATAGGGCTAGCATTTTTACTTTCCAACACCTAAAACCCTAAAACCCAAAAAACGCAAAAACCGAAAAACCTAAACCCCTCAAAAAATCTAAAAACCTAAAGTCAAAATCGCTGCGTATAGTCAGTGTTTTCATTCATCCTCTAGTGACAAGTAGATGATGTTCTTTGGGTGTGTTATTTGGGTGTGGGCGAACGTGGGGTTTGGACGGAGCATGTTTAGTCCAAAGGATTTTAACGTTTGCTTATTTGTACGACTGCTGTCCAAATGTTTTGTTTGGTGCTAAACATCGTTTTTCAATGTCCGTTCCAGTGGGCGCACCGTGGGGGGGTACTGATTTCAAGTATTGTGGCAAACCCAATAACAAACCTCCAATAAGAGCAGGTTTATACCATCCTTTGTGCTGATGGTTTTTGGATGTTCTTGGCTTCGCCATGTGGAAGAATCAGTCTGAAATCATTTCGATAGGCTCTGGAATTGGTTAGCTGGTGTGTGACTAAATGAGAAATCATTTTGGAATATATATGTATAATTATGTATATAGATATATATTATACATATATATATATATATATGTATGTATGTATGTATCTGCATATATATATATGTATATATACCGTCAACATACCAAAATGTCAATCCCTTGAAACGGTTTGGAGAACAACAAATCAGCTACTTGATGCGTGTCCACTGTGGGGCCACTGATCTCCATGTCCAGTGCGCCATCTTGACGCCTCAGTGAAACCCATAACGTGTACAACGGCGAAGACAACGCCCTCCGCCTTTGGTCACGGAGGGCGTCGTGGGAAAGCAACGAGCATCTTGGATCGGACCCCACAGCACTTGGATCTACTTGAGGATTCTTCAACATCTTTTGAGTTCCAGGACCATCCGTGAGGAATCTTTGAACATCTTGGAGTTGCTGATTGAGGGATGCGAATCATATGGCATTTCCGCTTTAAGCAATGCCCAGCAGGATTTCCGGTGAGAAAATAACATCCCGTTAAGCAATGCTCAAGAACATGGTTTGTTCTAGCATGTTTTCACTCGACAAAAACTGATCCCTAGGCTTCCAGACTTTACGGGAAAGTTTTTGGAGCCTCCAAACCTACCTAAATCATCTTCTGAGAAGGTGTGACTGGAAGCCTAGGGGATTGGAGCACCATTGGACCAACAGCCTATATACCCAAACCATGAATGGGGAGGATTCCTACAGACAAATATAGAGATAGACCATCCCAAGAATATACGCATGCATCGTTGTGGACATAGTCAATCATGTAATTCGATGTGTATATCGAAAGTTGCCTTTCCCAATCTCCTTCCAGCTCAAGGGTACGCGTCTCCCTCAAGAAACTGGTGTTGCCTCAGATTGACCATAATTTTACGGTTGGGGTTACATATATATGTATAGACTGCCAGTCTTCTATTTTATCTCACATAGTGCCAGAACTAATCAATAATTTGATTTGTTGGAACTGCAAAGGCTGCATCGGAAAATCCGTCGGTCCCGTACAGTACAGATTCACCATGCCCTCGTTGCCGGCTCAGTGCCACGTAGCTGGCTCAATGCATCGTTGCTGGCTCAGCGCCTGGTAGCTGGCTCAATTTTTTGAATGAAAAAAACAGAAGAAAAAAGCAAACGCAAAAAAATTGAGCCAGCTACATGCCCTTGAGCCAGCTCGGTGTGCCGTCATCATCCTGGCCAATACATACTATGTATTCGTTTTTGAGCTTTCACATTCGTTCGCCAGCTCAACATGACGTAGCTGGCTCAATTTTTTTGAGGTGTTTTTTTTTTCGTTTTTTTCGCTCAAAAAAATTGAGCCAGCTCGATGCCATCGAGCTAGAGCGATGTGTTTGAGCTACCGCGGTGTTGCTGAGGTAGCTCGTTCCACTTGAGCGAGCCTGCATTTTCCCCAATGTGTTCAACTGCCAGGTTCAGTCCCAAATGATTCGTTTAATAGAGATGGTACCTCTGTTGCAGCCCAGAAATTTAGGAGCCACTTTTTGGGCCAAATCTGCTTAGACAGCAGCACAACATTAAAGTCAAACACATGACCCCTTCTGAAATTGTGCCAGCTACATGTTTTGAGCTAACTCGAAAATGAGGAAGATTGTGGATTGCTACATACAAGTATAGTTGCGTGTCCATATGTGTCCATATATATAAAAATAACATTTGTACGCAGAGTGTATATATATATATAACACATTTATATATAAAACATATATATATATACACGTATGTAAAGCGTATATAAGAATAGAAATAATCTGAATAACCAAAAATACAACACATTTATATGTATCACAAATAAAACATATATATAATTTAAATTATATACATATAACATATATATATATTATAAAATATATATAGTATAATATATATGATTTGTAATTTATAATTTATACATATGATATATAATGTATAATAAACCACACACACATATATATATAATATGTTTTAACATATAAAAAAATATAGCATCGTGTATATGTATATATATATAAATATATTTATAAATATGTGATATGATATGTATATGATATGTATATTATTGTATGATATGTGTATATATAATATGTATATATATGATATGTATATTATATATATTCTTATGTATATATGTATATTCATGTAATATGTGTATACATATATATTATACACATTCAAATATGCTTTATATTCATATGATGTTCTATTTAATTGCCTAATTCACATGTCATTTGAGCCACTGCTGGGTTCTGGTCCGGTCGGTTCTCGCACTTCACTGGACACTGCAGCACCGTGACCTGGGAACGAAACTGAAGCTGGGTGAAACATCCCAGGGCTTTTCGAAAACATAGGAAAACCATGGGAAAACCGTAGGAAAAACCCTCCCTTTACCAGTTATTCTTCGGGTTATTTTTGCATATGCTTTTTTTTTTTATGGGATTATCATGAACCATTTTCATGGGGTGACTTACTGACTTACAACTTGTATTTCCGGCCATAACCAATTGGGTAGTCTTAGTAAAACAATGTAAAACAACTAATGAAGGATAGGACGCATTATTGCCCAGAAAATTTGGCTGGGTATAGCTGGGTACGTGGCTAATGATGTCTGTATTACAATTCAACTAAATGTTAGCGAAGCAATGTCATAAACCACCCATAAAAATGATAACGTTTTGACTGGTGAATCCTTTTGCTTTACTGATGTTACTTGGAAATCATACTTAAAACTCTCGGTTTAACCGCCCACAGATGTATCCTTTTCCATTCAAGTGTCAGATTTGAAGGCAGATCTTTGGCCCGTTGCCATGGTGTAGCCGTGTAGCCCGTCTCGAATGTACTCCGGTCCGGCTCTTTGTAGGTGACTAGCTCTGCCAAGCCGTCACGATATCGGCATTAAACCCTCGTGGGTGCAACCACTTGGTTTGCACATGGAAACTTCTTATTCTCTCCAGCAAACTAACATAACTATGGAACATGGATGAAACGTGCCATTATTAGTAGGAAAGTTATCTATAAATGGTCCATTTTCCTTAGCTATGTTAGTTCACTGGGTCACTGGAGGGTAATGTTAATGTGCACATGATTTCAGAATACGTCCCATGATGTCCATGCTGAGCAGCTCGGAATGAAGCATGTCTTGCGCATGCTGTGATCCCTCCAAAAGACAGAAGGAGTATATGGTCTGTGTATGTTTCTGTGTATTTGTGACACAGAGACATGACTATACATATATATATATATAATCCTCTTGGGAATTCACCTAAAGGGTTGAGGTCTGATTCTATAGGTACAAAATCAGGACCCCCAAGAAAAAAAATGCATTTTTCTATATATAATCAGGACCCCCAAGAAGAATTCAACTGTACAAAATCGAGGCCTCCAAGGTTCAGTTTGTGTGAAATTTTAAGTAAAAAAAGGGTCTACATTCTACATTGGGTAGGCTGGGTTGGCTACAGAATCAAGAGCCCCAAGCTTAAACAGCAGAAATTTAAGCAAATTTAAGTAAAACCAACCCACTTCTGTCTGACAATGTAGTTGAGACCCCAAAGTCTGTACAGCCTGATCTTGTTTTTTGAAGGGGGTGCAGTCCCTGATTTTATAGCTCAAAAATTAGGGTCGGTGAGGTTAGTGACTTTGGGGGGGTACAGACCCTGATGATATAATGATACCAAGTATTACCAAATGGTTGCCTGATCATATTGTTTTGCACAAGACCCTAATTGTATACAGGACCCTGTCAGTGTTTGTTTTTAAGTGTTTTTTTTTAATGCGCTTTTCTATGATATTCTTTGAAAAAAATCCGGCAAATTCCATAAGAATCCATAAGATTCCAAAAAAATCAAAAATGATTAAAATAAAATATATTAAACTATTATATTATCAAATTTCAAGAGTAATGCTCTGTGGGGGGGGGTACGGTCCTCAAAAATGATGGTACGGTGAAGGGTGCGGTACGTTGGGCACGGTGGTACGGTACGGTGGGTACAGTGGGTACAGTGGGTACGGTACGGTGGGTACGGTGGGTACGGTGGGTACGGTACGGTGGGTACGGTGGGTACGGTACAGTGGGTACGCTGGGTACGGTACAGTGGGTACGGACGGTGGTACGGTACGGGTGGGTACGGTGGGTAACCGTGGTACGGTACGGTGCAGGTATATACGCACCCACCGTATACCCCCGTACCGTACCCGGTGGGTACAGTGGGTACGGTACGGTGGGTACGGTGGGTGCGTACCTGCACGCACCGTACCGTACCCACCGTACCCATCGTACCGTACCCACCGTACCCACCGTACCGTACCCACTGTACCTACTGTACCGTACCCACCGTACCCACCGTACCGTACCCACCGTACCCACCGTATACCGTACCCCACCGTACCCACCGTACCGTACCCACTGTACCCACCGTACCGTACCCATAGAAAGTGTCATATGTACCTACCCGTGCTGAATCATCAGAAAACATGCTTTTCATTCCTCTTGAAATTAAATAACTATTATATATAATTCTTTACTATTCTATATATGCATACATCTGTGTAAAATCAAGACCCCCAAGCCTCACAGTGGAAAAATAGGATCCAGGCCTTGATTTTAGGGTGTATTTTAGCATAGTACAAAGATTGAACCCCAAGCCTTGCCTCGAGTCTAGCATAACATGGAAATCAATATAAAATAAGAACCCCCAACACCATATGCACCAAGCTAGCCCTAGTATAAAACGTAGACCTCCAAGCTCGAGTTTGACACCCTGAGACCTGTATAGAATCACAACCCTCCCCAGTGGAGCCCAACCACAGAGGGAAACCCCTGTATAAAATGAACCTGTTTTTGGAGCTCAACCCCCCTGATTTTGTACAGCTATATCCCAGGGGGATTATATATATATATATGTATATATATATATATATACAGTGTGTGTGTATATATATATATATATATATATCACATATTTATATATATGCATGGTGTTTTGGAAGAAACACTCATTTTCAAAACATCCGATTTCGTCCAATTTCCAAAGTCATCCCAATATTCCCCCTTTCCGAAAAAGCCTCTGGTAATGACTACCAGCTCGCTATTGAAAAAAATGCGTGGATTCCATGGACATTTCATGGAAATTCCATGATATCCCAGCCCCACGGTGCCAAGGTCTCATACATTTTTCGTTGTGGAATCCCCATTTCTTGCAGCAGCTGGTGGTGCTTAAAGAGGTGTTTCTGTGTGTTGGTTTATAAATGGCTAGTTCGATAAATCTACAGTACCATAAATCCAAGTGAAATGGGAGTTGTTTCAGCCAACTTAACTATCATAAATCAGATATAAATCCCATTAAATCACCATTTCCTATGGTTTTCCCATGGTTTTCCTATGGGGCCCCGCTTTTCCTGGGTGAAATTCCTATATTTCTAGCTGAATTCCACAATTTTTTCCCATCTTTCAACGTCCGGGTGGCTGCTGGGCGAAATTGTCATCCGCCAAGTGGTGCCAGATAGCCATGGCAACGACGGCCTGCCGCAGGAACTATAGCCATACTGGTAAACATTTGCATAGCTACAGTTATGGCCCTTAACAGTTATAACTGGGATTATAATTATATATAACCTTAGTTGCAGGAGTTATAAACCCATTTATAACTGTTAATGGCCATAACTGTATGGAAAATCACCATTTTATAGCTGGGCAAATCAACTATCTTTATGGCCATGTTCAATAGCGAACTGTTCAATTACCAGAGGGTACTCATCCGTAATCATTGATTATCATTGATTCCTAGAACAACTATTTTTTACGGCGTAAAATTGAACGTGGATTTGTCCCTTGGTTGTAGTAAACCAAGAATTGTAGGATTAGATATCATACCAAAGTGACTAGTACGAACCAGCTGGTTTCATCTCAAAAGAAGGGATATGTCAATGATCGAGAAAATTATGAGAATCATGGCGTGGAATTGGTTCCAAATTTTGTCAAAAAAACAATAAATTACTTTACTTCGTGTGATCCCCACCATGACATTTATACATTTTGTTACTGGCAAATCTTCTGGCATTCTATCAGACATATCTTCTAGCATTCTATCTGGCATATCTTCTGGCATTCTACCTGGCACACTTTCTGCCAATCTATGTGGCATATCTTCTGGCATTCTATCTGGCATATCTTGTGACATTTTATCTGGCACATCTTCCGGCATTCTATCTGGCATATCTTCTGACATTTTATCTGGCACATCTTCTGGCATTCTATCTGGCATATCTTCTGGCATTCTATCTGACATTTTATCTGGCATTCTCTCTGGCATACCTTCTGGCATTCTATCTGGCATATTTTCTGGCAATCTATCTGACATTTTATCTGGCATTCTCTCTGGCATACCTTCTGGCATTCTATCTGGCATATCTTCTAACATTCTATCTGGCATAGCTTCTGGCATTCTATCTGGCATATCTCATGGCATTTTATCTGGCATATCTTCTGGCATTCTATCTGGCATATCTTCTAACACTCTATCTGGCATATCTTCTGGCATTCTATCTGGCCGTTGAGGTCCAGCGGTGCACACTGAGCTGGGAAGGTTCCAGGTTGAGGTCCAGCGGTGCACACTGAGCTGGGGAGGTCCCAAGTTGAGGTCCAGCGGTGCACACTGAGCTGGGAAGGTCCCAGGTTGAGGTCCAGCAGTGCACACTGAGCTGGGAAGGTCCCAGGTTGAGGTCCAGCAGTGCGCACTGAGCTGGGAAGGTCCCAGGTTGAGGTCCTGCGGTGCACACTGAGCTGGGAAGTTGGAAAAGAGCTTGGCGAAGAGAGTTGGCAAAGAGCTTGGCGAAGAGTTGGCAAGGCGGAAGTGGAGGTGGAAGTTGATGCAGACATGGCCGAGGAGAAACTAGAGGAGGAGGAGGCGGAGGAGGAGGAGGCGAGGAAGAGGAGGACCAGGAGGAGGACAGCTAGCCGAGGAAGAGGAGAACAACTCTGATAAAATCTAACAACCCTCACCTGGCAGGTGGGGAACATATCTTCCAAACTTGTTGGTCAAAGATATATTCCCCCACTTGAACTCATCAGTCAGTTTGGAATGAAGAACTTATTTTCAACAAATCCTTCCCAAGTTGTGATTCCTAATGAGAGCTGTTTACCCCCGACATCAAACAACATATGTGCCATGGGGTCAAAACATAGTAGATGGTTTATAGCTGTTTTATTGGTCATCCATCCCATACATAGTGGAAATGATTACAAAGGGTACATAAAACCTGACGAACATGAATTGATGAATATTGACTTACTTGTGCTAAACGTCGGGAATTTTCGGGAATGATCCACATTCATTAACTATCAAAAATCATCTCAGCAACCCCCAGCAACCCATCCAGCAACCCTACGTAAAACGCACCAGTGATGACCATCCCCGCTATGGCTAGTCCAACTGAACCATGGCCCGGTTTCACAATGAGGATCAAGACAATCTATGACTTGGAGAGTGGGCTAACCCATGACCTGGGAAAGCTCCATGACTTCTTAGACTTCTAAGTACGTTAATAACTATAAATGGAAGATATTCCCAACTTTATCACTAGACAAAAACTGGTTAAAAAAAAATGGCCTTCCTCCAAATTTGTTCTTGGGATAATCCTGAATATCGCTATTGGTTGACAACGACAAAACATATCACAATCTTCCATATCAACAAAACATTATCCCAACTATATTAATGGGGGTTTCTTAAGTGATGGGGGATCCCCAAGTTAGAATGGGTTGAACCATCGGTTTCAACACGAAAAAAAAACATGTATAATGACTAAGTCATGATTTGGGGATACCCCCATGATTTGTCGGAAACCACCAATTGCTGTCATTCCATTATGTGTACAACGGTTGTTTAAGAACGGGATCCCCCTATTGGATGATCCTCAAACTAATCCTCAACCAACCAGAATTTATCAGTTATAGTGATATCCACTAAAAAAAATACTTAAAGTCATCTTTGATGGTTCAAACGCGCTCAACCCTATTAAATGACAAACTAATCATCAACCAGCTAAACACTGCTCAATTGGGTTCTACCATCACTTGCAATGGAATCTCCTGCCTCCTCTCTGTTGATGAGGCCGGAGACCGTGTGCGCACACTGCGCCAGCACCCAGCGAACGTCCTCCTTAGTGATCTTTTTGTGCCCCAGGTGGGTACGTGATGGTTCAGGATGTTCAGGTAGGTATTTCACCACTAAAATATACTAAGGATATACTATGGATGGTAGGTATCACCCTGCACCGGTTGTTTCTTGTGGTATTTCCATCCCATGTTCTTTTCTTGGATGGATTCAAGGTGCTGCGGCATTTCTTCCATCAAAGGTTATTTTTATAGGTGATTTAAATAATATTTATACAGGTTCTAAAATGTTCTAAACAATTTCAAGGCTATGTCAAGGCTATTTTTAGGTTGGGACTTTTGGGGATATGGTGAAAATATTTGCAGGATTTCCGACGGAAATATTGGGGATACTCCGCGGTGGTGCGGTCGTTAGCCAAGTTGGTAGCTAGAATGCTAGAATAATAGGGCTTATGGTGTAGATATATCAATTGTTTTTTTATTGGGTTTAAAAGAACAAACATAACGTTTGGGGGCACCACCTTGTTGGCAAGAAGATCCAGGAGTTTGGACAAATGATATCTTGGGTCTTGGATCTCATGATCTATATGTGGTTGTCCAACTTTTCTATCCATTCTAGGTGGATTGCTGCAACATATATATATATTATATATATATATATATATATTATATATATATATATTATATATATATATATAGTGGGGGGGGCGGTGATATATCTATCCACAACCGGAGCCCTTCCTGGTCTTCAACACTTCAGAATAAACATGTGCCTGGTATCCATATCTCCCGAATTTAAAGGAATCTCCAAAGTCATGATTTGGATCCTCGAGTCACCTTGGTTGTTTTGATACGAAGTCATGGCCATCGATAACTTCCATATTTGTTTGGGGTTACCTGGGGTACCCCTATGACTTAGGAAACCTCCATATAGTTTGAATCTACTTATGAAGTGGGATGATTATAATTATATAAGATTATCTAAGTATACCATGATAATATAATATAATGTGGAAAGTCATCCCAACTTCATATAAGTATTTATGGGTATATCTATATACATGTATGGAAGATGATCGCAACTTTATCACTGAAGTATCAATTGGGGGATGGGAGGTTGCTTTCTCGAGGCGGAAACAAACATATCCACTATATACCCTACTATTTCCAAAGGTCAGAGGAACCCAACTAACAACTTACACCTATTTGTTCAAGATCAAAGTCAAATGGCCTTGATCCAACAGCTGGTACATGGATGCCCATCCATGAAAAATATGGTATAGCAGGTCTACATCCATACCAACTTTGTCACAAGCACATGCTGAAACACCAACTGATCCAAGTTGAGTTTGCCCCAAATTTCTCGGAGATCCCCCCACACTACCAAGCCACGCTGGTAACGACCACTGGTATCAGGATGCCATACCTTGGAATGCCATGCCAGCCTCCCAGTGAAAGATTTGCTGGTTAATGAACTGTGGAATATACAGTATATGGCATATGGAAAAATGTCCGTAAATTGAGATCAACCGCGAGTTCCCTAACATGTATATATATATATATAATTATATTTGTATTATATATATATATATATACATATATCACAATGGTTGTCTTAGTTGGTTTGGTATTTCACATCAACTAGGTCTATCGATATCTACCGTTCAATCCCAGCAAACCTACAGCTCAACTGCTGAACTATTTTTTCAATTTTAATCAATCAGTGATTTGATCATGGGTTGAGCTGAGTGTATCAAACTTCCACTGAAACCAAACAAAAGTAATCGAGTCCCAGCGCACAACCTCACTGATGACTCACAACTCTCCCTGTCCGACCCAACGCGGCAAGAGAACATCCCAAATCAGTGGTCGATCTATTTCATTTTTCCCCAACCATCATTAACCATATAATAACCATATATTAACCATTATTAGCAGTATATTAAAACAAAGATAAACCACCCATTTGGGAATGGTTTATACAATTTATACCACCTATAAAAATAGTGATTTGGGGGATGGTTTATGACATTGTTTTACCCACATTAAACCCAAGTTCACAAAGCCTCATTGAAGTGCCAGTCACTTTTCTCGATTTCCACCCTTGTCCTGTGCAAGCACAACTCGTAGAAAGCGTGATCCAAGACACAAAAAGAAACCATATATGCTGGGATTTCTAAGAGTTAAATATATAGGACCCCGAAAATAGATAGACAAGTTGGAAACCTGAAAATTATGGGGGGAACGTGAATCATAGAACTATCAACCTGAACACACTTCTTGGCATCAGTTCAAGGGCTGCTATAATCCAGAATCACCCGAGACAAAGTGCCAAGTCTGCTTTCACTTCGCTTACACCAGTAGACGACCCTGGAGAGGAGAGGATCAGGAGAGGACCGGAAGAGAGGGGCAGTACCTGACATAAGATCTAGAGAATCTATAGAGAGCGACCAAGCGATCAGTCGGCCTCTTTCTTAGATCCCTGAAGGATTCCTTCACCTTGAAGTGCCACATTTCTCGCTACAAAAAATCTGTGGCATCTGCTTTGGGACCAATTCTGGGCGATTTATAGGAATAAACAGCTAGATCCGGAAGCCTCTGAAGCATCTCTGAAGCATTTCATGACGGTTCATATTGCGCTTCACTAATCAATCTGGTTCCATCCCGCCACAAACTCTATTGTTTCTGGGCTGTATTCACCATACAATTCAGTAAACTTATGGTATCATGTGACATGTGAAACCTATGCCGAAGTAGGACACTATAGGTTTATGGTACGTAAATGGTTACCATGTGTACCTATCATATTATTATATATACAATACTATATTATATATATAACCACTTTATTGCACCATTGTCAGTCATATGATATGGCTGATAGGTGATGCCATTGTCCATTGTACCATGGTTATCTGCTGCTAATTAATCTGTCTTGTTGGAATATTACACATTTATTTCGATTGTTATCCCACGTAAATGTCCATTTATAGGGGATGTTCCCATTCAAATCCCATTTGGTTCCACGATTGTCTCAATAAAACAGCAAAAGCAATAAAACCCTATTGATCGACTATTTTCCAGCTAGCCACTCTTGATGACACCAGACAATAATCAGATACGAACCACCGATAACTCTCAAACTCCCTTGGTTCGTCCTCGATGTATTGCAGCGCTTCGCGCAACTCATTGGCGTCCTAGGTACTGGTGGGTTGGGTTTTCTGTGATTGAGCTTGTAACGTGTTCGGTAGGTATTAAACTGCTTGGTTTCAAGTTTTAAGTGATTGGTTGGCGTTGTTTTTTGAAGCAACAAATTATAAATTATAAAGGTTGTTTGTTTTGGTACATGTTCCATTACACCAATTCTATAATGATGAGTAGAATTAGGGGTTCCAAGTTCTAACCCATGAAATACGGTTCTTACAAATTTTAAGGGATGTAATTAGGGCGCCCCAGCATGTTCTTCCGAGATAATTTTCACAAAAAGACGATGGGGAGCACGAGAAGATTAGACTATTGGACTCATTCCACAGAATTTGGCCGCTGATGTCCCACCAATTTTGGTAGATCAGGTTCCAGTTTTGAGCTTTTCAAATGGGCTCTATCAAGTTGGATATGAGTCGGGGGACGTCCCCGATGGCTAGCCATCAAAGATGGTGCGCCAAGTATGCTGACAACCTTTAGTGGCCCATGCCGGTTCCGACGGTCATATACAAGCCAACAAAACATGCTACGACGCGCGAATCATAGTGGCTACAGTCCATCCATTCCCGCGTATCCGCGTCGTAACGGTGAAGCCGTGAAATCGTGAAACCCTCATAGAAAATTCTCGTTGCTGGTCACATTGACATTTCTGCTAAGAAAAAAATGCTGAGTCAAACATCCAAAAGGCTTGCTTCATCCAGGGCAAATTCACCAGTCGAAGTATCAAAACCAACCTCTCGTGGTACAACAAATACACCTTTTCATTGGGAGCAAGACTGGTTAGGTAAAAATACCCAAAAAATATTGGGAGTTTCTTAAGTCATGGTCCTCCATGACGGCTGGATGACTGGGGTACCCCCATGATTTTGGACATCGGCCCCGCAGCTCAGCGTCTAAGTAGTTGTCTTTGTCCCGGTCAAACCTGGTGTACCCGACAGGATGGCTGGAGCATGCTGGAGCCAAGGATTGGGATACCAGGGATACTAGAGATGATGTTATTGAAATCAAGTAATAGATGTAATTTGATGTAATTGAAATCCTAACTGGTAAATCAATCTCCAACTGGTAAATCAATCCAACTATAGGTAGATCTAGCTAGATGTTTTTTTTGAAATCCACTGGCGATTTTGTTTCTTGATTTGCCATTTACAGTTGATTTCCCTATCTGTACCGGAGGTATCATAATGGCGAGTTTCCGAAGATCCAGGAAATATGACAGGAATCAACGTGTTTTACCATAGTTAGACGCGTTTTGAAATGTAACATGCTCCCTCACATTTTTGCTCATTCTCGAACAACAGGATATCAAGGAAAAACAACAGTAGAGATATCTATGTATCATGGTTTGGGGTCAAATCCTTGCACAGTTACATGTTAATGAATTGGTGCTTACAAGCACCCAAATAATATCCCACATATATTGCTGGTTGGTGGTTTCAACCCCTCTGAAAAATATTTGTCAGTTGGGATTATTATTCCCAATATATGGAAAAATAAAACATGTTCCAAACCACCAACCAGATTAAGTACCACCATTCTTATCATGGGGATGGAACACCTCATGCAGACTTTTTGCCAGGGAGAGCTTTTTTTCACTTTTAGGGCTGGACCGATCCTGATGTGTCTTGCTATAGCTTGCTGTGCTTTCCACATTGTTGTGATCTATGTTGATATTGCTAGAATCCCCCAACTGCTACTGCTGAGATTCCAAATTCCATTGCCTAGTTTGTTCCTCTTTTCAAAAGGGCCTAGTTTGCATGATGCTTGGCTAAATTCCTTGATTTTTGCTTAAACACACATATTTCCTTGGTTCACTCAACATACTTGTTGGTGAACCCCCCCTGTGGCCAAGATCTCTCTGCCGACTTCTCTGGGTCGCCGTGCTTTTCGAAGATCACGTCTACGTCATGCGCATGACCTGAGCCCGCCCAACTATATGACTGAAGTCATACCGACTTGTAGGTTCACAAAGCTATGGAACGTGGCCGCTCAAAGATGATTTCCCCATTAAAAATGGTGATTCAAACAGATGGGCCCGGGCAGTGTTCAAAACCCCCTTTGGTTATAGTGGTTGGTTGAGAATGGGATTCCCCATTCATGGATTGTGATCATTCCCAATCTTGCTTAGTATAATCCCCGAACTAATCATGAACCCAAGAGGAAATCGCAGCCACTGCTCATATGAGGGCCAGATATGGCCAGATGCTTTCTGGCCCTGTGAATTCATGTGGCATTGCAATGGACCAGCCGTTCCAATGTTCGAGGAATTTCACCCGTTGATGGGGATCTTCCAAGCGAAATGCTCGAGGGGAATATCCTACAACACATATATCAGGCCAAAGTCATGTTACTTGAATTTCAGTATGTATAATCAGGGGGTATAATCTGGGAAAAAACATGAGATTCCTCTGGCGGTACTGAAAAGACAAAACCGTTCAGAATGGAGTGGAACCTTTCCACCTTCGGACCCCAAAACCTTGGGCCCAGGGGCCCAGGATCCTAGAGCAGCAAAAGGGAAAAGCGAACCTACGAACCTAGGTGGTGCCCCAGTTCGTCACCGAACGACTTGGTTGAACTAACTAGGTCAACAATTGGATCTATGGTAGATCTATGTATCTCATCATTAAGGGGTGTATAAACCAACATTTATTTGCGGGGCACCACATTGTACGCACAAAATCATCAACGTCTACTATTTTCGTATGAGCTACATCGGGTACAAATATCTGACCGTAGACTGTAAACAGGAACATGCAACACGCATACAATATTTGCAGTAATTACATAAATACTGTTTCTCTTTGATGATAAGGACAATCACTATGGGTCCCACATCATGTTTCCAAGGTTGTCTCACCCCCGGTTCGGCACAACCTGCTGCTGAGAGGCATGTGTAGTAACCTCAAGCCGCCAGGTGAGGGGATGAACATTTCCTGGGATTTTGAACACAAATGACAACTGATCATCAACTGATCATGTTTTCCACACTCCATTCGGGTTTGAATCTAAAAAAGCTGCTTCACCCCAGGAATCGAGGTCTGACAATGCAGGGACGGCTCCCTTGAGTCCTGATCGGATGCGCTTAGAGTGTCCGCTTCTTTTGGCGAGCTTTGATTTGTTCGGTTCCAGGGAATGACAACGCGGCCAAGCTCCACTGCATGTTAGATAGATATGTTATATATATAATATATGTATATATTTATATAACAGCTAATGGCTTGAAAACATCTTACAATAAAATCCTATAAACCAACAAGCATACCTGGGCCTTGTACCATTTATGGAAAAAAACTAGGCAAAGCCTATGTCGGCAGTTGGTTCACTGCATTTTGGGGAGTCAAACCATATGTTTATTGCGTTTGTTTCCTTTCCCATTGACTTGCCAGTAACTCTCAAAACAAAAAAAACTAGTTTTGTCCTTGTGCGACTGTTTAACACAGTTCTAATAGCAACACTCAAAAAGATGAAACACATATTCCATTCACCACTAATCTATGAGAAAATGTTGGTTTTGTTCCATTCCACTTTGGACGATACCGTAAAGATCTACAATTCAAACCACCATTTACTTTGCCATAGCTTAGCCATAGCTTGATGTTTATAAGTTTATGTGCCTAGGTGAGTCCCATGGTTCCAACGATTCTGGGGTCCTTTTTCCAGCTGCAAAAAGCCATGGGTTTTGACATTAACTTGGGAATGGTAACCATACCACCTGTTTATGGGGTTTTGGTGGATATATATATAATATAATATATATATATATATAATATAATATATATATAATATAATATATAATATAATATAATATAATATAATATATATATATACTATTCATGGGATTTACCCTCTGGTAAACCAACATAACTATTGAAAATCACCATTTCTAATGGGTAAATAAACTACAATTGGCCATTTTCAATAGCTATAATGTGGGTAAAGCAATGTCATAAACCACCCATGACTGGGAATGGTTTCAATTCCACCTATAAAAACGGTGATTTTGGGGATGGTTTATGATATTGTTTTACCATGTTTTACCCACATTATTAGTTCACCAAAGGGTATAAATCCTACAAGGTGGTGCCCCTCCAGTTATAAGTTGGTTTATACACTATAGTAAGCATGGATATATTATATCTACCCTCTGGTAAACTAACATAACTATGGAAAATCACCATTTTTAATGGGTAAATCCACTATAAATAAATGGCAATTTTCAATAGCTATGTTTGTTTACTGGCACCAACTGAACGCTAAGGAACTGGGGCACCACCTTGTAGGACCAAAAATGTACCCTTCCTTCCTTGCACCATCCGAGGAACGCATCTTGGTGACGACATCCAAGACCTAAAACGGGAACGTGCATGGAAAATCTGCCACTGGTAATCCCAATGTGGGATGAAGATAGTATGGGGATGAACATCATGATATAACTTCATGTATCTGGTTGGTGGTTTCAACCATCTTGAAAAATATGAAAGTAAATGGGAAGGATTATCCCATATATTATGAAAAATAAAACATGCTCCAAACCACCAACCAGTGTATATATGGACACTGGCATGTATATATATTTACACTTGTATATTGATAAAACCAAAGACATTGTGTATTAAACAAAAAAAACTATCGTGGTTTCGCCATCCAAGTTGTGGATCATGGTCGAATCCCTATTCAAACCATAAAACAATCATGTGAAGTCACGAGATAAACTACCATGGACCAATAATATGGTAGTTCATCTAGTGACTTCACATAATTTAAATGGTCCAAAAACTAATTTAATGATAATAAGTCACTAGATAAGTTTAAACCATGTTCTGCCTCTATAACTTATCATTTAAATTATCCCTATTTCCATGATGCGAAAAGACATGTCCCGCCTCCCAACCGGGGCCGCGCACCAAGACCCGCGAAAAGAGCCGCTCTTCCACCATCGGCAACGGCTCCGTAGGATCGGTCTGAAGCGACGTAGAATACGCCGTGGTTGGAGGATGGTAGCTTGGGGCTGAATATCTACCTAACCTGTATGAATTAGTTGCTACCTATAGACACGTAATAATAATACTGATAATAATAACATAATGGCTAAGTGGGGAATATGACTTAGACAGTTAAGTTGTTAGTGTTGATGCAAAAGAAGAAATTGTCAGTTAATAATATATAGTTATAAAATATTAGTTAATTCTAGTGTCATCATCTTCCAGTTCCCTGTGTGTGTTCAAGCCATTTTTTATTCAAAAGAAACAACACACACCCATTCTCCGGGTAAATCCGGTAATGATTGCTATACCAAGGCCATGACGGCCATGGGGCGGTACTATTCTATAGTAGAAAGTTGTGATCCAATGCAGAAAAACCAGGCTGGATGCAACTGGGAACTGTTGGGAAAATGATTGCGGATACATCGGATACATCGGATACATATTCAACATGGGTAAAATGCGGGACAGCCCATTTCCATCTCGTTTACTCATCGAAAAAAAGGTGCTTGTCCAGTTCGCAAACTGTGTTTTGTACACCCAGTGGAATGTTGGGTGGTGATCCCTCAGCTATAAGTTGGTTTATGTTGGTTTATAACCACCAGTAACTATCATAAACCACTGTGCAATTTAAGTTATTGGCACCAACTTAGCGATTTCGTAAACTAGCTCATCACCTTGTACTGAACATAATATGTTGGTTTGTAAACCCCATGAGTAGTAATATGTGTGTACCCTATGGATCCAAACACCTCCTGAGAAGGTACTTACTGTAACCCCCCGAATCATACCCCAAACGCTTCCTAAGAATCCATAGGGAAAAAACAAAAAAACACACATATATATATAATATGTATGTATGTATACACCTTCCAAGAAGCAAGAGTTCGGTATACGGTATCTGACATAAACCCAGAGGTTATCCAATCCTGTGCAACGGGTCATCTTTTCGATTTGCACCTCATCGGTGGTGTCAATCAACGACTGCGTCTCCTCATGTGTCGGTTCTGTGTCGGAGCACGGTTGTTTTTTTCGATGTCTTGCAAAGTTACTGCTTGGATTCTTGGGTTGGCCCTGGAATCTGTCAGCCGGAATAAGGTATCATCAAGTCATATGATTTCCTGTAAATCCTTCATTTCTGGGACGGAAGGATTACCTTATACCACTGAGTCAGCAAACCTACTGGACTACAGTTAGCTCTCCTGGATGGATAGCCAGCCCAACATGTGGGGATCTTCATACACACGAATATAATATAATATATATATATATGAATAAAGTACCTTCCCTTTCCCAAGTAGGTTTCTCACCAAACTATGATGTCCATTACTATTGTGTCACTCACATTGGCTGGATCGCACGGTCATGGTCGATAATGTATGGTCGATTTTTGCATGCATGACCATCCAGGTTTTATGGGAAAATAAACTCACTTTTGACCATGTCACTTCCTGAAATGGCCATTGATTGGTTGCATATGGGCGCGGAATTAAGTTGGCATTTTTTGGGGTGGCATTTTGTGTTTATTTTTTGGTTCGGGGTTGGGTTCCTTGCTTTTTCATTGTTTTAACAGTTTTCATCAATTTTCCAATTGTTTTCGCTAATTTTCCAGCGTTTTTCCTCCATTTTCCATAGTTCTCTATGATTTTCTAGCGGGTTCCATCAGTTTTCCATAGTTTTCAAAAAAAATCTAGCGTTTCCCTCAGTTTGTCGATCGTTTTTCTTGTTTTTTCTTCGCTTTTGCATTATTTTTCTATGTTTTTCTATATTTGTCGTTGCTTTTCTAGCGTTGTTGATCGATTTTCCCGTCCTACTCATTAGTTTTCCCTCTTTTGCATGATTTTGGACTTGGTGTTGGTGTTGTTGTTGTTGTTGTCGTTGTTGTTGTTGTGGTTGGTTGGTTGGTTGGTTGGTTGGTTGGTTGGTTGGTTGGTTGGTTGGTTGGTTGGTTGGTTGGTTGGTTGGTTGGTTGTTGTTGTTGTTTTGTTCTTTGTTACTGTTGTTACTGGTGTTACTGGTGTTACTGTTGTTCTTGTTGATTTTGTTGTTCTTGTTGTTCTTGTTGTTCTTCGTGTTCTTCTTGGTGTTCTTGTTGTTTTTGTTGTTGTTGTTTTTGTTGCTGTTGTTGTTGCTGTTGCTGCTGTTGTTGATGTTCTTGTTCTTGTTCTTGTTATTGCTCTTGTTTTTGTTGTTGTTGTTGTTGCTGTTGTTGTTCTATTTCTATCGCAGTTTTTCCTCTGTCTATCGATCTATCTATCTTTTAATAATTGTTGTGGTTGTGGCGGTTGTGGTGCTGGTTGTGGTTGTGGTTGTGCTTGTGATGGTGGTTGTGGTGGTTGTGGTTGTGGTGGTCGTCGTCGTCGACTTCCCAGCAAGGGGAGGGTCGGATTAATTTTTTAAAAAGCGGGTGGGGGTGGGGGGCGCGCGGGGGGGGGGGGGGCAGGGCGCAGGGAAACTTCTGACTGCCATGCAACCATTGTGAAGCACAATTCAAACAAATATAGTTGGAGAACAACAGTTCAACAAGTGTCTTGAAATAGGGTCTGAAGAACTTTAGGAACAGCAAGTAGTTGGGACACTTGTTGAAAACAGGTCTCAATTCCTCTCACAACAGCATGCATATAAGCTCAGATTACGACTGTAGATTCTGTGCAGTTTACATGCAATTGATATGCAGTGTATTCTATGAAATTATGAAATGTTATATGCAAACTACAATACTACACATACATTCAGGTAATCATAAGTGCTCCAGCCCTAATTGTTGGACTATATTGGACATGCAAGCTGGGTCCCCCAGTGATAAGTTTGTTATTTTTACACTGCCTATGGTTACAGTAAAATATGTTACAATAGCAGTCAATAGCACAACACCCCTGTGAAATATGAGTCTGAACCAAACCAACTTAGCTAAGGGGCCCCACCAGCTACAAAGCATGGGGTGCTCCAACCGTTCCTGGATGGGGTCTCCGTCCTTGGCGGCTGCAGCTGCCTTGTCTTTCGCCTGGGAGAGATGTGGGACTCCCTTTGGGCAAAGGGCGCAAGTCAGGCCAAGTCGTTGGCCTCGAACTGGCGCAAACCCACCGTAACTCGAACTGTCCAAGTAAGTGGAGTATAAGCCAGTTATGAGGGTTGACCCTCGCAATGGAAACCATGCAGTTTGCATTCACTTTCAGAATTGGAAAGTTGCGGTTAGATTATCAGAGGGTCACACTTCGCTTTGTTGTGTCGTGCGGGTTGGAATTGCCAAAAAAACATGTCAAGAGTTGGGTTTATCCAACAATAAGATATGCACCTGAAATCCATTGCTTTCTCATCATACTCCCCATGAACAACGGCCACTTTAAGCGGAGTTTGGCTGAAGCACATCCATATGGCTTTTGCCTAAAAATATGATGACAATCCCCAAAACAGAGTGGTTTATCATATTCCATTTCAATGGCATGGACTAATCATGCGGGTTTTAATCCTCCATATTTAGACACACCAACAGTGAACAGTGCCTCTTGTGGTGCTTTTGAAGTTCTGAACTCCTGCGGCTTGGGAAGATCCATGAGAGACCGATTAGAGATCCTCGCTATGACTGGTGACACTTTTGCCCATTGAGAATCGGCTTCTAAAAGCCGTAGCGTATGATATTATACATATTGGGACCCAGATATCTGATATCTATGGGATATGTCCATAACATGTATATATTTATATATTTATATATATATAGGTAATTATAAGTATATGTATGTGATAAAATTAGGCAATACAGTGTTATCCATGGCTTGTTGATCCATGTACTATCATGCCGTTGAGGATTCCGATGCACGAAAGTCCAGCTGTGGAGACTTTGGATCCGTGGAGCCTGGAAATCATTGACCTGGAAATCATGGTCCCAATGGAATGTGGAAATTCCCGAAACAGAAACATAAAGTTTCGTTTAGGGGGTGTTGAAAATCTTAGGGGGCACCTTTATGATTGGGCATTGAATGGCATTGACACAAACAACGATTGCCCATTCAAGGTGTGAAAACGGCCGTCTTTTTTTGCACTGCTAAGACAAAGACGTCTTGCTCGTAGCTAGTTCTTTGACGACTGCATGGTGCAGCAATTCTTCCGCATCTTCCGCATCTGCCTGGGATGATCATTTCAGCTATGAATGACTTATAACTGGTGGCCGTAACTGTAACGAATGGGCTCTACAGAGAATCCTAACATGTTGTCCCGCCCGTGAAAGTCCATGTAAATATGGGAGGTACCCGCAGACAAACCCAAATAATTCCTCAGACTTGTTTGTTTATGGCTTTCGAAGGCAAAACATTGGAGTTATGGTCTATGATGTTGATTGTTCAAGCAATATTGTGTTTTTAATGATAAAAGGCAGAAACGGCATTTCAGTGAAATCTGCAGATTGTTTTTGTGTAACAACTGCATTGTTTAGCACGTCCCGGCCCTGGTGATAAACAAATCACAGGATGTATCTGAGAAAATCATCTGGTTCCCCATGGTTGTCAGGAACTATGGAGGTCACGTTTAGTCGCAAAAATGCATACCCGGCAGCTCTATCCGCTATACCCTTGTTCATTTCAAATTCATTGGTTTATCATCATTTGCCTCATGAACATTGCCATTTTGCGCTGTTGGGGTGCATTCCCAATTTTCGGACACATGTGGGTTGCTCGCCTAAGCCTGGGATTGCCACATATAAAACCCTGTACCAGCTATAAGTCAGCTAACACCCACTACAGAAGATAACCCCATTTAAAACCATAACTATATATATATGTATATATATATATATAACCATGTACAACTGGCAAAGGGTTTGCACTATTTTAACTGCAGAACAGGCTGGATTTTAGTCATCAAATCATATACCCGCAGCCACAACCCGGAACCCTCCTCTGCACCCAGCAAGGTCCACATGTAATCAAGGGCCTTCGCAGGACTCAACCAGCGCAGTGGAATGTATATAAGTTGCAAGATATGCCGAACCGTGTATATATATAATCATATCTTTATACAATATTATAATCGATATAAATAATATATTTTCGGAAATATGATTGTGTATAACAAAAAAAACACCTATCATCATACATATATTGTACCATCACACATTTATAACATACACTTCACTATTATATGTGTTCAATCATGCATTTGTAACATAAACCAAACAATCGGATATCAAATGATTAGGGATATTATTAGGTTTACAATATGCATGTCATTCTTGGCGTGGCTCGCATATGCAAAACATTGTGAAACATAATCTGCAATCTATAGTGCCGTTTCATACACAAACTTCCTGTTTGCCGGGGAAAATCAACTATCCAGTCAGCATTTAGAAGCGATCTCCCGTCAACCAAAAGAACCAAAAACACAACTGGAGCCGGTTGCTGGTCCACTTGGTGGCACCCATCCCCAGCATAATTCCATAAAGGTGGATATGTTTGGACCATCATTCCATGAGAAGTATTGGGAAGAATACACCACTGGCAACACTAATGCTGGATCGTGGTCACAAAATGTCACAAGTATTGGAAACCAAAAAGGTAACCAATGACATAGATAACGAATCAATTTTTAGAGCTAAAAATAACTCACTATATATGACCCCACAGTGGAATGAACTTCCCCGATTTACGTTTCCATCAAAAAAAATAGCATCAAAGGGCCATAACTTGGCTACTGTCGTCGTCCCGGCGTCGCCTCTTGCTTGAAAGTGTGATGTCGAATCACAATATTTCTCAAGAGCACCTGCATGCAGGCGACGAAAGATGACGAAAGCCGTGCATTCCCAGCTTCTACTGGCACATCGAGGAAATGCTGGTTGGTGGTTGACCTACCCGTCTGAAAAATATGAGTTCGTCAGATGGGGTTACTATTCCCAATATATGGAAAAATAGAAAATGTTCCAAACCACCAACCAGCTATAGAATCTATTCATGTTATAAACTTAAACTGGTATTTTTTGCAGTGCCAGGTTGGATTTTGGAGGGTGCCCAAAGTTCTGGTATAGAGTTGCAAGTTCAAAACAGAATGTTAGTTGGTGGCTTCTAGTTGAAACTCAATTATTTCAAGCTGAGCTCTCATTTAATTGTGGTCTTGGTTCCGTTCAATGACTACAAAGACAATAATGTTAACTCTGTCAGGTGAAATGCTCAGTCTGCCTCTAAAAAAATCCGACGATCAATGGCCTGTAGATTCTTTGACTACGCATTCGTTGTTCCAAAATGCGTGACTTCCAAAACTTTTACGGAACTATACTCATTTTAATGTATAAACTTACCCAAAATTGAGTGATGTCAAGTGACCAAGGTTGGTAAAAGCATATTCATACAGCTATGGCCCTTAACAGTTATAAATTGGATTATGTCATAACTCCTATGACATAGCGGCTATATATCATGAAATAATCTCAGTTATAACTGTTAGTTGGCTACAACTGTACCGTTCATGTATGGATTACAGAAAAAAAAACAGCAATTCCCATGCCGCGTTTTACGCTGCCTCCACTTGTGCCTTGGTGATCACCTCAGCTGTGTGTTTTTCACCGAGCTGCGGGCGAGTTCGTTTTGATGCGTTGCATGGGACTAAAAGGCTGATTCATGACATCTAAGTTGCTTTATAACCAATATATATAATATAATATATATATTGATATACCTATGGTTTATGAGGTAGATATTAATTGAACATAATTGAACATAATTGAACTAGTTAGATGGGATTAGAAACCAACTTAAAACAAGGGGTTCACTTTGTATAGGTGATTGTCACATCACCATCAGAGAACCAATCAAGCACTTGTAGATGTTGTCGGAATTAGTGATTCCTCGTTCGTACTTTGGGTATATCCCTTGCTACATCCCAGTCATAAGGGGTTGTACCCAACTAACCACCAAGCTAACTCTAGCAACATCTAAGCGGGGGGATAGAAACAACGCACGTTAAACTTGAATCATATTGTGAACCAAAAACATGGGATGTACAAACAGCAACACTTGGATTTCTCAAGGCACAAGATTGGAAGGTCAATAGCAATAATGCTCGGAAGAATGATGAGTAAATCCAACAAATTTGAATGGTTTTCGAACAAAGGCTCAAAAACCATTCGCTCATGGGGAACATATAACAACCATTTCACTCGAGCGGGCTGTATCCGTGAAGTGCTGGCGGATGTGCTACTCACTGATCAATATGATTGTTTTGGCCCAGAGCAATGTATGATACTCAGCAAAATAATGCATCATATGAATTACTACCGTTCCTTCATCTTTCAGTACTTGTGAGAAAGGCAACCGACCCGCATAATAATGGCAGTGGAAATCATCCAACAGTTAATTGCGTCGGTAATCGGGCATTGCCACATGCAATGTGCGCAGCTTCTTGTGTTGCCAAAACACATACCCTTCTGGAGGGGTTGGAGGCTGAAACACTCTTGCATTCTGGTTTTGAAAATCCTCTTCACTTGAGCTCGATGAAGATGATGGCACCACCTCACTGGTGATCTCACATCTCTCCTCATCTTTGGGCTCCACGTCAATCGTGATGACTGGTGGCCCCATCACATCTGGAGCCTGTCGGTCCTGCTGCAGCAGTTCCACAAACCTTCCTGATCTTGTCACGTCAAGCTTGAAAGTGCCTCTTCTCACTGCTGACAACACCTTTGCCAGCTCCATGAGTGGCTGTACTGCATCATCTCTTCAGTAGGTGTGCAAGATGCTAAGCTTTGGCCCCCGACTTCCCTTGATGGGAACCGTCTCAGCCGGCGCAAGGCGATCACCACCATGACCGCGGAGCTTGAACTGGTTTTGAACCAATCTGCTTTTCTGCTTTTCTTCCACCGGTCGACCGCTGCCTTCCACTTTGCTGGTGTCCATGTTTGCCGGGTCTGACGAAGGTTGCACAAACCCTCAGCTGAGCAGTGAGTCAGTTGAGTCCACAGCACTGGTCTAACGCGCTGACCCGCGTTCTGTCGCACACCAATGGTGTACGAAGTGTGTTAGAGAAACCGCACTAATGTTGGGTGCCGGACCTGCTTCCACATTTGATGTGGGTACAATTCAAAATTAAGCATAAACCCAATACTGGAATACTGGAATAGACCAAATGAACCCAACACTATGAATTATGAATGCGCCCAATGCTACTTCACCCCAGTTGTGTGTAGTTGAAACCCCAGTATGGTCTCCAGTAATCCTGAAGGATCGCATGGCTTTTTATCCTTGATTCTCCCTGTTGGACAAGTGTTCGGTTGGTTTTTCGGTTCAATCAAATAGATACGGCCAGGGCCCAACTTGTACTAGTTCAACCATGTTCAACCCCATTTTTTTGCCTGGTACAGATACATAAATCATCATAAATCAATCTGTGCTTTTGAACATTTCATGTTCGCTTGACTCCAGACTTGTTTTCCAATTTCCAATGGCCATTGGTAAAACCCCGACTGCCCGGGAAAAAACATATATATATATACTGTAGTTGCTGGAAATCTTAATTACTGTACTCATATAAACATTTGCTGAACAGCATGTTTTTATTGGCAAATACTGTATCTTCTGATTGGTTCAATCGCCACATGTTTGGCTCAAGAAGCATCATATTTAATTGGTTTAATCCCCTTTTTTGCCGAGCAAATATCAATCATCCTGCTTCAACCGCTATTTCTGCAGGTGAGACTCAATCTTACGGGTACACACATGTGTTTCACATATGTTTTACGAGCCAAAGCAATGAATTGCCAATTTCGAACGGTAACATCCCGCCTCTTTATTATACTTCAATTCCCTCGGGTGTTTTCACCATCTTTCATGGTCCAATTTCACAATTTTCAATAGAACAACTGATTGAATTTTCATGTTTTCAGCTGAAAATCCTATAATCTTTCATGATGTTTTCTACCAGGTGGTGCCCCACCAGTTATGTTTGTGGGATTATAAACCCATTAAACATATATGTCTATACCTACCATCAACCCAGCAGTTTACCCAGTTCGAAACCAACTGAATGGCAAATCATCCTGGGCACCACCGTCACTTTGCAATGATCTATAACTGGAGTAAGCGCCAATACCTGATGTTTAATTTTTTCTTACATTGTAACCCACTCAGTAGCTCATTTTTTTTCCGCAGATATTTGCCCATAAAGCCAACAATTAAATACACTTAAATAAGTTTGCTCACCAACTTAGCTAACCTCATTCACCTACACTTAAAGCCATTTTACCAGTTTTACTTATGGGTAAAACATGGGGGGGATCAGCATGACATACTGACAACCATAACTGGTATTTCGGGTTTCAACTCTAACCTATGGCTTTATTCACCAACTAAGCTAACACAAATCAATAGAAATCATCTATGCTAGGTGGTAGTATCCACATTAGTAGGTGGTACCCAATATGTTAGGTGATGCTCATCATCAATAATTATCACCTATGTTCACTTAGCATCAATTCGTATAAATCTATCCGATTCTATCCCCAGTTTACTACAATTACAGCCCTGAACACTTCTAAATGGGATTCGAACTTCTATAACTAAGCCAAAAAATATCGAATCATTATAATCCCATTCAGTTATAACTGTTGCTTGGTCTATAACTGTACCATCTTTCCCTCAGTTTCGCTACCTCCAACGGTCGTCCAACTCGCTGCATCCGACGGGCTCCGTGGCACTGCTCGTCCAACTCGTCGAAGAGCTCCGCCGCACGGCGTTGGTCCATCTGTGGGGTTCGATTTTTTAACCGACCATTAAGGTGGAGCCTGATGACCCAAGGGAATTGAAATACAAACTAATATACATATACATAATATATATATATATTCCAACATTCCCAATAATTATGTATATATATATAATTATATATATATATCAATGATATCCAAGCAGTTAAAGCCCAAAATACCACTTATGATAACCCCACATATAACCGTTAAAATCAATGGTAAAGGGCTTTAACTAAAGGGATCTGAATGACTGACTTAAGATGGAGGGAAATTCCTTGATATCGTGCAAGGTGGTGCCCCCCCACAGTGATGTTTGCTTCCCATTCTGTATATATATATATATCTCTACCATGAACGAAAGTTATACTAATTATAAAGCAACTTAGCCAAGTATGGGGCACCACCTGGTGATACTTGGTGGTTCATTCCAGCTAGAAAGTGGCGGCTATAACCAGTTAGTAAGTTGACTAACCCTACTTACCCTACTTTGACAGTAGTTGGGGCTAGAGTCCCCTTACTAAGTGGGGTGAAACACAAAGTATCATGAAGTATCTACAGCACATGTTTGTTAACTGTTAGCTGATCACGTCTCCATCCTTTTATATGGTCAACTATGTATATATATATGTATCTTGATCTCGGCGCGTGACATATGGCCCACGCTTAGGACGATTGTGATGATGCCCGCAATGCTCACGATAATGACTCCAGTTTCATGTTGCTTGCTACACCACCCTAGTTGATCAGAACCAGAACATTGCAACCGCTAATGGTTATGGTTTTACTGCTATAAATTATCTAAAGCGATGTTTCAAGTAATGTATTCACCTCAAAAATGGCAGAAAATCATCTCGCAATATCCCATTTAAAAATATGTTATATCTATAAATCTATGTTCTGCTGAAAAATCATCTTTAATCATCTTCAATAATGCGGGTAAAACAATCATAAACTATCCCCCAGTCATCACCATTTTTTATAGATGGTATAAACCATTCCCAGTCATGGGTGGTTTATGACATTGTTTTACCCACATTATAGCTATTGAAAATGGTCATTTAATGTTGATTTACCCATAAAAAAACTGGTGTTTTTTTCCATAGTTATGTTAGTTTACCAGAGGGTAAACCCCATGAACAGTAAATATATATATATATATATCTATCTACCATAACCGCATAAATAGGTGGTGAGAATACCATTCCCAAATTAGTGTCAAAACCCATGGTTTTTTGCGGGTGACAAAAACAAACAGAATCGTTGGTGACCCAGCTCTGCCATGGCACCGCCAACTTCTGGGCGAAACGCCGACGCCGCTCGGCCTGAAAACTTGGAGGATCATCCTCTGGTTTAACATGTGTGAAAAATTGAAATCTCATATATATATACACATATATATATATAATAATTATATTAATTTGGGATACAGATTAGTGTGGGGATACACAAATGTGTTCACAGACTCCAAAATAATTGTGTACCCTTGGAAATGATGGAGGGGTACAGTATTGTGTCCACAGGATTTTGGAGTAAGTTTTTTCAGTTGTTTTGTTTTTTAATTTTTAAATTGTTTTAAATTATTTTCTATTTTTTTGTTTAATTTGATAATTTTGATAATTACATTTTTGTTTAAAACCATATTATTTTTATATATTCAATTCTTAATTTAACAATTTAAACATTACATGTTTTTTTAATATTCAATTTTTAATCTAACAATTTAAACATTACATTGTCTTTATATATTCAATTTTTAATTTGACAATTTAAACATACCATTTTATATTTTTCTATAATATAAGGTTGGGTTCACTATTGTGTCAGGGTACACTATTGTGTCAGGGTACACTATTGTGTCTTGTGTCAGCTTCTTCCTTTTTTTGTTTTCAAACATTTTATTTTTTCTTTTACTTTCTTAGTTTTTTTCTCATTTGATCATTTGAAAAGTCCAAATGTCCTTTCACAGAAAATTAAAACCAGATCCACAATAGTATGTTTTGTTCGGGGGGGTACACTATTGTGTCCAGCTGCTTCCTGAGGTGATTTTGATTTTGTTTTCAATCATCATTTCCTTTACCGTTTCCTTTGCTCAAGTTTTTTTCCCTTTTAACTCATAACTAATTACTTTCTTAGTTTCTTTCATTTGAAATTCTCAGAAATGCCCAATTTCCCAAATATATGATGCCTTATTAAAACCCAATTAACAAACATCACTCAAACAATTTTTCAAGGTGGTGGTCCATGAGCAACCCTGATCCACATAGTATGGTTTGTTTGGGTGGTACACTATTGTGTCCAGCTGCTTCTTGAGGTGATTTTGATTTTGTTTTCAATCATCATTTCCTTTACCTTTTCCTTTGCTAATTGTGTTCCTTTTAATTAGTTACTTTTTTAGTTTATTTCAATTGAAATCCTCAGAAATGCCCAATTTCCCAAAATATTTGATGCCTTATTAAAACCCAATTGAAAAACATCACTCAAACAATTTTTCAAGGGGGTAGCCCATGAGCAACCCTGATCCACAATAGTATGGTGTGTTTGGGGGGTACACTATTCAAAGTAAATTGAAATCAATTGAAAGTAAATTGACATCAATTGAAAGTAAATTGAAATCAATTGAAAGTAAATTGAAATCAATTGAAAGTAAATTGAAATCAATTGAAAGTAAATTGAAATCAGTTCAAAGTAAATTGTATTCAATTCAAAGTAAATTGAAACCAATTCAAAGTAAATTGAAATCAATTGGAAGTAAATTGAAATCAATTCAAAGTAAATTGAAATCAGTTCAAAGTAAATTGTATTCAATTCAAAGTAAATTGAAATCAGTTGAAAGTAAATTGAAATCAATTCAAAGTAAATTGAAATCAATTTAAAGTAATTTGAAATAAATTGAAAAAAAGAAATCAACTGAAAGTAAATTGAAATCAATTGAAATCTATGAATTTTCTTTGATTCCACACTATTGTGTACCCGGTCCCTTGTAATTTCCAAACTATTGTGTACAGTAAATTTGTTGAGGGGGGGAGGGGGGTGGCCTCCCCACACTAATCTGTATCCTACATTCATGTATATTATACATGTGTATATGTATATATATATTATCATTGAACAAAAGTTGGCCATGCTTGATATGTTAAATTACGGCTGAGTGATAAAGTTGGTAAACCAATATCTGATTCCTGTGGTGGGCACCTGATCCAGGACACCTCCTATAAAACCTGTTCCCGTCCCGTAGTCAAACCTGTTCCCGTCCGGTAGTCAAACCTGGCAATGGACAATCCTCCTCCGTTTGTAGATGATTTCCTTATTAAAACCTCCATTCATGTGGGATTTTCCATTGCCACGTTGATTAGCAGAGGGTAGTAGGCAGGTGATACCCATTCTATATATATATATATATGTACATATATAACTTATATGTAGCTATTTAATGTTATTTCAATATATATATATATGTATTGAATGATGATATCCCAAAAAACATCATAGAACAATACGTGTACATGCCATGGTCATCCGGTTGCAACACCTGTCGCCGGTTTTGCAAGGACACCCCACCGGGTATGGATGGGCCAAACAGAACTGGGTATGTTTTATGGGTAGAAGCTCTATAACCCACCCTCATCTTACCCCACAATAGTAAAATTACATACTGCATTGCTTTTCTCAGAGGCAACTCGAAGGTTGACTCACTCATACACTTGCCAATGAAGCATATAGGATTCATTGGTTGGTCGGTTGCAGACCGTTCGATCACCCGATCACAAGCCATTTGCCATGTGTTTTTCGGTGTAGTTGATGCCCCAAACAATGCAGCGTAGAAACTTCTATTCTTGACTGGTTGAACCCTCACAACGTAGAGGATTCGAGGGAAATCTATCAGGATTTATTGTGACGTCAGGAAAACAAAAGAAACAATTAGAACAAAAAGTCCGCGACGTAATGTGATTGTCACAACAACGGTACTGGGCACAACCAAGAAATGGAGAATATGAACGAATTTACAGCAAAATCCGAAATCGGATGATTTCAGAAACTCCCAGTGGACTACCCTCTGTCATGTCTATTCCAATTTAGGTTGATAGAATGTCTATTCTCTATTCCAAGGTCTATCTGCTGATTTTTCTGCCGATCAAAATTCAAGACAGTTGAAATAATCGCCACAAAACACTAGGTTTTGTGCCAGCTGAAGTTGCAGTTGATCATCGTTGATTAACCCTCTGGTAAACCGCCATGTTTCCCAGCTATGAAGCGACCAATTTCAGGGATTTCCCAGCCATGTTTAATTGAGGATATGGATGGGCAACACGTTCTGCGCTGGATCCAGCTAGATCATTGGGCTTTCCAACGCCATCCTCCGAACCTGACCGTTTTCGGGAGATCCAGTGTCGGGATGTGTTCAGTGGAGAATAATGGGGATGTGCGAAAAAGGAAATCATGGCAGTTGTTGTTTTAATCTCATGAACATTTTAAGGAACAGGAATCAAAGATAGAGCTGTCGATGATTCCGGATATTCTTCGGTCGGTCACGGAGATCATCATTCTTGGGATGGTTTATGGCATTGGGTGTACCCTCTGGTAGACATATAAAAACCTATGGAAAATCACCATTTTTCATGGGTAAATCAACTATAAATGGTGATTTTCCATAGTTATGTTAGTTTACCAACACTGGATATGTTTTGAATGGGCATCGAATGTGTTTAGTGGATTTACTTGGTTTATCATAAACGGTCTACTTCATTCCAGACCATTCCAGCACCCTATCGATTCAGCCGGAAGTGTTTGGATCAGGAAACTGTAACGAAGAATATGATACTTGAAACCATAGAACTATATATATATATTCAAATTATTCTAGTAACTATATCCATATATAGATAGATATATATATATAGTAACTATATACATATAGATAAATCATGATATATGTACAGTAGCAACTTTGGAGTATCTCGATCCCATCGATCCCCGGCTGGGCATCCCCACCGCTAGGTGCACCCTTTTTCCTGGCGAATCTCTACGTGAAGCCGCGCTGTACATTGTCCAAATGATCATCTTATTGTTGGAATGGTATTATCCATGATAGTTATTGATAGATATCTGATAGTTATCATCCAATGTTTGAAAAATCTTAAGATGATAATTATGATCTTCTTTGGCACAATCGTTACCAAACCTTTGCGTTTTACGTCCATTCAATGCCGGCGAACATCTTGGACGATTATCCATTTCTCAGCCATCGTAGAATCCCATCGAGCCACCGAGTGGTTGGATGAACTGTTCTGCTATAGCTAAATAAACGGCCAAAAAAAGAATTACCTCTAATCCAATACTCATAGTATTGGATATGTATATATATATGTGTCTATCCTGTACAAGTCTATATCTCATATCCTACCCCCATGAAATCTCTGGGCCAATATCAAGTTTATGCAGGCTTCGTCCCACAAGTCATCATCCCATTTCACCATATTTCAAGGAGATATCCATCAACAAAAATCACCATTCCTAGCTTCAAGGTGCCCCAGTTCGCTAAGTTGGCCCGTTTGGAAGTCCAATAACTAGGGATTAGTTTATGCTCCATGGTAGAAATATCGGAATAGAAAATGGAGGGGTTTATGGGCTAAAAACGGTTTCAGAATTGGGGACGGTCCCACACTATGTCAATAACCATCAACCATGTAAAACCACGGATATATGGGTGTGATTGGGTATGGATTTTAGTTTGACCCGTAACCTGAGGCTTCAAGCGGCGCATCAACCGGGCCGCCCGACTGGCGATTATGTCGCGCCGCTACGATGGCCGCCACCGCCGCCATGGGAAGTGGCCCACGTAGGGAAAAAAATGGAGGATCACTGGGGATCAAGGCATTTGAAATGGTGGTACGAACAAGAAAAATGGTGATCTAGAATCCATAGGTGATTTGTGTTAGCTAAGTTGGTTTATAGGCTAAGTGATGGGTTTCTGTTAGATCGAACGAATAAAACATGTTTCTTTCCCATCAAACATCATTGGGGGCACCGGGGATATGATGGTGATATGTGGGTCCTTGGGACTGTCAACGAGTCGAACTGAACGCGTTTGATCGGCCTTCAGGACCTTGCCGATCTTCTGCTTCACCATATGACTTTCTGTTCGACAGCTGAAGCCGCAAAAGCATCTGGTTGGTATGTCTGCAAATACATGTATATATATATATATATATGTGTATACATATATGTATACATATATATATATATATGTATACATATATATATATATAAATAAATTATGGTATACTGTATATGTGTAAACTTCAACAATTTGATAAGGTTTCATTAAAAAAACATCAATTCAACTTCAAACACTTTGTGACTCTGGGGCCAATATCTGGGCTTCGGGTATGGGGAGGTGACCCATATTACCAGTGATTTTCATGGTTGTAAAGGGGGTTATCACTCTCCATGAGGTGACTTATATACTGATTTCAACTGGTATTTCGGGCCATAACTGTGAGATCATGATGCTTAACTTCTTACAATCTTCAAAGGAATCGTTGTCGCGACGATAGCATGGATCTAGATAGCTCACGACAAATGGCAGTCCGTTTATTGTCGGGCTCTGTCGCTCAAGTTCCGAAGGTTCCGTTCCCATGTGTTGCTGTGCTCGGGAAGTCTCTTGGGCTTGGGACACGGGTATGGGCCATGTAAACCTGTGGAACCTGATGTTCAGACACATCGAAACATCATATAGTTGGTTGGTCTTATCCCATGTTATATTCCAAGTACCCATGACATCCCATGAAAATGGGTGGTTAAGCCCTCAGTGGCATTCACTTCTACAAGATGGGTTTATTACCCATCTAACTGCAATTCTAACCACCATAACACCGAGTGATTGTAGTTCCAAGTTTTGGTTAACTTAGCTAACTAGGGAGCACAACCAACCGGTTCAATATTTCATTATATCCTCATTCTGGTTGGTTAAGCTTGGTGTTAAATAGTATCCGTTTAACCCCAACTACATAGCCTTAAGATTACTTCAAACCTATAAATCACTTTGACAGTCACAGATAAATCACCTGTAAATTCACCATCTTTGTTGTTATCCATTCATGGACAAATCTTCAATCTGATCCCTTGATGGACCTTGCGACTGCGCCCCGCGCCGAGCTCGGCCAAGTGCGATGGAAAATCGCCGAAAATGCCCAGGAAGAACATGGAAGAACTCATGTTTTGAGGCTCGAAGTATATATTTCAATGAGATTGAAACCAACAATTGGAGATTTCAGGTGTTCCAGGAATTTGTGTCAAGTGAAATTGACTCCCATCCTACGAGTTGAATCAGAAACCTGCTTGGATCAAGGCCATATGCATCAACAAAAAAAACGATGTAGGTGAACGCACTCACAGATTCAAACTGCTTAAGTTATCTTAAGTTCACATATGGTTGA